GTGTTAAACAAACAGTCGCCGTTGGGGGAGATAAAAGTGGGAAGGCCAGGCAGACCTAAGCACTCATCCGGGAGTACGATCAAACCGAAACAGCCCAGCCTCGAGACCTAGTGGTTGAAAGTTAGGAATATTCTATTTATTACTCTCGCCTTTTGTCACACAAGGGAACACAGCCGTACCCTTCCAACCACGTGGCCCTACCTTAAGTGTGTTTATAACCGTGTCAGAGGACTTGGAGGGACAACAATGGAGACGAAAACAGTTCGAGGCTGCATGCATGACTATGTCTCGCTCATAACAGACCCTTGGCATTCAGCGAGCACTCCTGGCAAACTGATACATGGAGCGGAAATGAAGCTGTAGTGAAGGGACAGAAAACGAGGAAGGAAGGTGGAATGGCCTGTTGCATTACCTTTCATCCAAGTGCCAGAATGGCGGGCAGCGTGGCTCTTCCTCAGATCCCGGAGTCCTTACAGCACCACCTAACTTTCAATCTCAACGAATGCTTACTAAGGGCCAAGCATGGGTCTCCACAAAAACAGGACGCATAAGGTGTGTATTTACGCCTAATGTTATGATAAGCAGCAAGTTCCGTTCGAAAAGTCATCCGGCAAATAACAGTTTCACTGTGTGTAAACAACCTATCATGGAATTCAGCAACCAGCGGCTGAAAATGCGGTCACAAAGGCCGGCCTTCCTGACACGTTGGGTGATTTCGCAAGGTGGAGATGTAAGGAAAATAAATCATATTTGGGATACATGTGGAAGAACAGTAATAATGTCGTTGAGAAGAGATGTGTTCAACCGCACCTTCATCGTGACAATCACTCATTAATAACCTTTTGCATGACGATTAAAGATATTTTGCGACCAGTAGCACCCAAAATCCCTTTCAGAAAGAATAAATACCGGGGTGTGAACAGCTACCTCGCAGATTCACCACTGTCAGTGGGCTAAAACCTCACGATATATAGACACCGGTAGAGCTCATTACATAGTTTTTGGGTCTACTCATCACATCCTGCTAGTAGGAGCACGCTTGCCATCATTGAAAGTCTCATTACTGGGGTATGGAGCACGGAGGCTATTCCAGGTCAAACAACGACCTGGTTTGAGTGACTCTCATAGAACAAAGAGCTGAATTTATCGACCTACAAAGGAATGAACGATCAGCAGTAATGCTAAAAGTCGCAGTGAGAAGTCCAGCTATTCGTCAAACCTGGGGAGGTGGTACGAGAGAAATACCGGAAGCCGACGAACTTGTTGATCTCACGATAGGCCCCAAAGAAGAAGCACTGAGCAGCTTAGCAATCATGCTACTAAATCCACATTTAGCTGAATTAACACCAAGTGGGTTGGTCGAGATGAAAACCATCGTCCGAACTTCTTGTTCACACAGAATAAAGTATTCACTAAGCCATCCAAGCTCCGGTCTAACGAGTCGTTCACATGCGGTGACTTGATCCCGGTGGTTGCAAAGAACCGCTCTGAAATGTTTACGAAACCCTACTGTAAACTGTTTGGACGGTCACTAACATCAAACTGATCCATTAGGAGGTAAACTTGCGTCATACGGCCACACGTTTTCAGGAGGAGAAATAAGGAAAACGCTGGTACTTATCGATCGATCTCCTGGCTGCCACACTGTTGGAAGTGGCTGAAAGCAACCGAAATCTTGGAATTATGTGGAAAAAGCTGAATGGTTTACAATGCGCAATACTGCTATCAAAGTGGGCCTTCATATGCTGTCGACTTCGTGACTGTCGGAGATAAAAGGACAACCAGCCGAAAAAACAGAAAATACCCCCAAGTTATCTTCCTCGACTAGACAATGGCGCTTTGTTATTTTCCGCACGACATCCTGGTGGAAAAATCTTTCCGCCTCTGCCTGTATAATTCAAAGCGTACTTAGAAGAGAGACAGCTCCGCGACAATGAGGGCAGAATGGTGTCTGCATGGAGGTCGCCAACATCCTGGGTATCCGAGGGAGCAACCGTTTGGCCAGATGTGCTTCTGCTTTTCACTACTGATGACCCACAGAAATACCCTCATCCATGTTCCCTTTTTCTGACGACTTTTAAATATTGTGGGGTGGTAAACTAGGAAGCCCACTCCAGAGCAATCCAGAATGATCTGTAACAGCCAGGACTTTGGTCGACTTGTACTTCAAACCGGAGGAGTGCGCTACTGTGCTCCTCGATACCCACGGGGAGCGGATTGCGGAATACAGACACCAATGCAAGTGGAGCGACCGTGGTTACTGAAGTACCTAAGGTCAAGAACCTTGGTCGCAAATTCCTTGATGCTCTGAACAATAGCCTCATAACAAAAGAACAGAAGAAGGGGCTGGTCTGCATTGCACGGGCGGATCACTGTTTCTACATCAGCTGTCCTGCCGAAAGATTTTGATTTGCACACTTTATCACGCATGTAAGTACTCGATGACGTGACACTCTTGACACTCATGAAGGGTGCAGCCTGCCTGAAGACGTACAGGTAACCGTGAGAAAACCAGCTGTTGGACTGTAGGAAGAAGCACAGCCAGACGGACCAGGGCATCTGAACCTATTCACCTTGAGCTATAGCAGAAAGATGAAGTGCCTACTTACCGGTCACAAGATCATGCACCAGACATGTCATGCAAACAAGCGAATCTCACCAGCAGCATGACGGCCACCAATAGGAAATCCCGCAGAATACCGGATAAGGGAGCTCATGCAGAGCTCAAGCCAGACTTCCTTCCGCTAGCCAAATGTGCCTTACAGAATACCTCGCCATAGGACATGGTTACCACTCCCTCCAATAAACCGGCTTCTCTCGTGTTAGACTGCTAATATGAGAATAAAATACTTATTTAGGAAGCCATGTAAGAGGTTGGTTACCCGTGTGACTTCAAACGGTTACCCGAGAAAGCCTGTCTAGTCACCCAGTACCTCACTACCATTTTTATTTATTTACTCCCGACTATTTACTCTTGTGGTAACTCCGTTCTGCAAAACTTGACTACCAGCCGTTCTCATCCTGCCTGTTTCAACTCTTCTAGGACATCTCATACATCTTTTTACTCTTGATCTGTTATTCTTCTCCGGCAACCGTTGTGGGCAGAAATCACAAGAAAGCATTCGTCATCATAGCAGCCTAAAGTTTCTTTAAAATCTGAGTCTACACTGAGCAAGCACAGCTCCTCAGAGAGTACTCACTTCAACCGGGGGAAAAGTATGAAGTAGGGAAGGCTTACTTGTCGACTCCAGAGGCAGAGCCCAGCAACAAAGATCATGTCCCGAGAAGTAGTTGTGAGGGCTTAAAAACTATTAGCTTGCGGGTGCATATGTGAAGTTACTCGGTTATTGTAGGGAGTGTTTTAACAGCCAATTACATTTGGTCAGAGTTTAACTCTCTTCCACCCAAATGGATTCCAGTGGTTGGTGGGGTGCCTCAGGGTCCCATTTTTGACCCACCACTATTTTTATCTCTATAGACGACCCAACAGTAACTGTAAATTCTTCTTCACCGTTATATGCGATGACGTGAAGGTATGAGGGCGAATACAAAGACCAACCAGCATTTCCGTCTTCAAAAATGTTGTATGTGAAATCCTAAGTTCGGCAAGTGATAGCTCGCTCCACCTCAAGCGTAGAAGTGTTAGATAATGAAAGTAGATGAATGTATGTATAATCCTAGTTCTTGCTATCTAAAGGAATTAAGTATTCCTCACTCAAATATTGGGAAAGATCTGCAGGTTAGCCATAGTGATTCACCTAAGGTTTCTGTTCATTTACGTCTGGCACCAAACAGGAATTATGGAGCCCCAAAGCTTCTTCCTCGGGTCCTAAGGGGACTAGTTTTAAATTTATTCATCACGATGCATGAACTGTGTCCTCCTACACCCGAGAAGGACTTGGAAAGACGTTTCCATCCTGTAATTGGCCCAAAAGATAGCTGCGGAAGAAGCAGCTGGCCAAGGGCACAAACTTTACGTGGATCGCATAGTCCTTTTTAAGCCGCAAGTGATACAATGCAGGTGGACTAGAAGGGACGCGATCATAATGAATCATATCGTCATAATCTTACTTTTAACAGGTCCCTAGTGAGTTTCATCCAGAAGCCACACTTTAGACGTCACCCATTAACGGTAGAAGATAAGACGGAATGTACGAAGACCTCTACTTAATCGTTTCCGTTAAGATCCGTAAACTGTGAGAACCTCTTCCTGAAAAAGTTGTCAGACCGGAACCAGACTTGATATACCCCTGGAACCCTGTAGAGTAAGTGGACGTTGCTCGAGAGGCTTCTCCTCTTAAAAACTCTGGGTAGCAGCATTACCAGAAAAGAACTGATTAATGGTAATTGGTTATCACACTAGGATTTGTCCTGGTGCGAACTGGACAGACGCAAAGACCAATCACTAATTGTTCAGACTTGTTATGTACCCATGAGTACGAGACCGAGGAAGAACACGATAACGTAGTCGGATGATATAGTATATTTGGATGGTTATGCCAAATACCGATGTGTTCCAACTAACTGGCTAGAGTCGAATACGAGCAATGCAACGTAACACGACAGCGTGTCAAACGGCGAGGATGCTTGACCGGGTGCCTTCAGCTTAGCGAGTCCAGTGAAACTATCAAGGTCAGCATCAATGTCGAAAGTCGTCAAACCCTAGGCTATTGATTTTGGGGAAGTGTATCTCTGTCCTTTTAGGTTTCTTGATAACAGGACAAGAAATGGGTTCGTCCTGAACAGAAATTTCACAATTAACATGGACATAAAACCCAAAGCCCAATTACCCGCTACTTCTACATCACTAAGTTTGATGTTTGTAATTCCTGACATTCACACAATTGATGTTCGGTGTTGGAAAGTAGCGCGCTCTTCGGTTGTGCGTCGAAATGTGTTCGTATGATAACTGATTACACCGATGAAGCGAATTCAAAGATTTACGCTTACGTCTTGTTAGCTTGCAAAAGCAACTCAAAGTTGCGTAATAGGAGGAATTAATGGTGAGTGTCAGAGTTTTAACTTCTAAAATTCTTACTATAGTCTATAAACCAAAAATATTTGTTTCAAATCATATATATATATATATATATATATATATATATATAGAGAGAGAGAGAGAGAGAGAGAGAGAAAGAGTCTGAAGCCATTAGCATAATAGGTCTTTCGTAATGCATGTCTTTTGATTGTAATTGAAAGCTTTGTAGGCTTATTAACTAATAATCATCGCTAACTTGTTGTTTTATGCTTGGCAGCCATTTACAACGTACTTGCATGTCTGTACGTGCACAAAACATGTAACTTTCCACAACTACGGGGCTTTTTATCCAGGATATGAGCTAGATGTGGATAAAGCAACCGGTCGTGTAGAGTGAAAGCCTTCGTAAGGTAATGTTGCACTTGCCAATTTGCCCTCATTCCTCCAAGTGAAGTTGTATACATTTTAGGAAGATTGAGTATAATTGGGCCCCACTGACTTATTTCGCCAAACAGTGAAAGCCAACCCACTCAGATAGTCTGTCAAAACACTGGCACAAGAAATTCACAGGGAAGCCTTGAATACATCAGTAAGATGGGGTTTCGTAGACTATTTAGCTGTAAAAACAGGCTGTAACCCTTCAAGCCAAGATACTGTTATAAAACATATAGTCCTTCAGCTCTCAATTCCACCAGCCCCCTCGGTAGTAATTTAATTCTATGAAATGATTTATCATATTTCAGAATATGAAGAGAACCTTAATAATCTGAAGTATGTATGGATTTGGGACTCTTTGTTTTTCCTGCATATCTGTTTACCTATGATGAGTGTTTCCCTCACTCACATCCTGCCTTATTGCTGACCTTATAAAGTCATGGAAACCATGTTTGTCCAGCCAGTTAGCATTAACATGGAACCTTGTATTACCGCATAACAGTCCAAGTTGCCATACCTCATATCAGCTCCTCAAGGTAGAAAGCACCAAAATGAAAGGCGAAAAAGAAGAAAAAAAGCGACCAAAGTGGTAGTGACTCGATCGTAGAAATAGAACAGAGAAACTAAACTACTGGAACTTAGCATGACTATTAAAATGAAGATGGTGCTTGAATGTATCCTCCAGTGAGATTGATTCTGAGCCCTATCACCTAGAGTTTCCGAACATATCACTTGTTGCGTGGACCCCAACCGGGAAATCTACATTTCTCGATGGAGCTTAGACTAGCAGTCAGAAACTGAATTGATGCCAATTTTTATTCTGGTCGCTCTTAACCTTTTTCCATTCCAAACCTACTTTAGCTAACATTGCCCAGCAAGGTGTACGGCGATTAGGGATGCACAGCACAAGTCCCAGTCATAGGAATCTATTAGGGTTTACAACCTCACCAACTGATTTACATATTTTTTCTAAAATTTTACGCCTGACCTCTACAATACTGAAATGTTGATTCCAAAGTACAAAACCGCGGTTATCCACCTAACGTCTCCCGGCCAATCTGGTAAATCCACAAAATTCACCCTCCGAGTTTCTAGAGATTTGATAGCTAGCTCTCATGGTCTTGCAGGTGTAGGTATAGCATTAAGCACTAGGGCAGAAAACTCACTACTAGACTTGATCTCAGTTGATAGTCACCTCTGCGCTATACGACTGAACGGCACAGTGCGAACTAAAAGGAATAGTGAGACTCGCCGTTGTCTCTTTGTAATCTGTGCTTACGCACCCACTGGCTGCAGTTCAGATGAAGTGAAGGACGAGTTCTACCGAAAACTGTCTAGCCTCCTCTGTAAAGGAAAACGCTCGGATGTGGTGGTTGTTGCAGGTGACTTCAATGTACAGGTGGGTAGACTAAGTGAGGCAGAAAGGCACTTAGGCAGCACTTTCGGAATCCCAGCTGAACATACAGATAACGGTGATCGCCTGCTACAACTATGCTCAGATAACCACCTATTTTTAGTTAGCACAAATTTCAGACACAAAGAAAGACACTGTCTGACGTGGCGTCCACTGAGCTCAACTCAGAGATGGACACAGATAGACCACATTGCTATTAGTCATCGCTGAAGAGGATCGGTGGAAGACTACCGCTCCTTCTAGATTACGTATTTGGACAGCGATCATGCGTTGGTCCGAGCACGTATATGCCTGCGTCTCAATGGACGTAGGAAAAATTTGGCAACAAAGCCACTACGAATGCTGCTGGACAACGAAAACATCGAAGCTGCTTTCAGTGAAAATTGGCTAGGCAGTTATCGGAACAAAAGACTATCACTCATCCAGAAGAAGCTTGGTGCCATCTCGAGTCTGCTGTAAAAGCAGCGTTGAAGACTGTAGCCGACTGCGAAAGAGTGGCTAAAAAGAGCCAGTGGATATCAGCAGCTTCCGAACTAATGGATGCACATGAACACATCCCTGCAGGCTCTGAGTACAACGAATGGCGAGCACAACTTAAAAGTAGATTGAGAAAAAGTCTACGCAACGATCGCGAACAGTGGTGGGCAATGAAGGCTAAAGAGATGGAAAAGGCGGCGGCGATCGGTAACAGTAGACAGTTATTTAGACTTATTAAGGAGACTGGGGTAAAAGGTCAACAACAGTTAGTGAGGCTATAGCGGAGAAGGATGGGTCTGCGATTCACTCTCAGGGGAGATGACTGGAACGATGGGTAGAACACTTCGAGGAACAGTTTAACTGGCCTTCAGCCAGCACTGCATTCCGCGCTATCCAGTCGGATCCTGAATGGAACATTGAGATAGCCCTCCCCCCAACACTAGGAGAAGTCGAGAAAGCTGTAAGTAACCTGAAACCAGAAAAGGAGGCGGGACCAGACGGAATAACTCCAGAGGTATACAAGGATGGTGGTAAGGTGCTCTTAGTCAGGTTAACGGAAGTGTTAACCAGTATGTGGGAATCAAAAACTATCCCCTCTGACTGATCTAAAGCAGTCTTCAAGAAAGGCAACAAGACCTCTTGTGATAACCACAGAGGAATCCGCCTGACGAACATAGTGTCCAAGATCCTAGGTTCTATAATTCTCTGATACCTGAGTAGAGCTCGGGAACAGCAGGCCCGAGAAAACCAGGCAGGATTTAGACCCAGCCGTGGGTGTATCGACCAAATATTCACACTGCGCCAGGTCCTGGAACATAGACACCCGACGATAGCTGTATTTCTCGACCTGTAGGCGGCATTCGACTCCGTTGATCGAGAAGTCTTATGGAAATGTCTCTCACTGAAAGGTGTACCGAGCAAGTACATCACCTTATTGAAGGCTATCTACTCGAACACTTGTGGGCATGTTAGAGCCTATGGTGAGATGTCAGGTGAGCTGTACTCATCGAGTGGTGTCCGTCAAGGACGCCTACTGTCTCCATTCTTATTCAATTTCATCATAGATATTCTTATGGAGGTGTCCCTCTCGTCACCAGGTTACACAAACGTTGACCTAATCACAGGAGAATTTTCGCTAGACCTAGAATATGCAGATGACAGTCCTGTTAAGTGAAGACGCTGACAAGATTCAGAGTCTTCTGAACACTTTGAGTTGGAATTTGAGAATGTTTGGGATGTGTTTCTCACCATCCAAATGCAAATTGTTACTCCAGGATTGGTCTTCAGCGGTGCCACGGCTAACAATAGAGAGTGAAGTGGTTGAGTGTGTTGACCACTTCACTTACCTCGGAAGTAGGATCAACCCGGTGGGTTAGTTGCCGATGAGATCTCTGCACGGATACAAAAGGCTCGATTGGCTTTTGCGAATTTACGCCACCTGTGGCGCCGCCGTGATATCCGATTGTCTACTAAGGGTTGCGTATACTGCACAACAGTCCGGCCTGTACTACTGTGTGGCTGTGAAGCATGGCCATTGAAAGTGGAAGACATGCGAAGGCTGGTTTCAGGTGTTTGACCACCGTTGCCTTCGTAGTATAGGACGTATTCCGTGGTGTCACCAAGTGAGTAATGCAGAAGTCAGGTATAGAGTTTTGAGGAGAAGAGGTAAATCAGTTGACGAGGTTATGAACCTTCATAGATTGAGATGGTTGAGACGCGTACTACGTATGCCTAGTCACCGATTGCCTCGTCACACAATGTTGGCTGAGGTGGGTCCAGGCTGGAAAAAGGCCCGAGGTGGCCAGACTAAAACATGGCACCAATGCATGAAGTCTCTTACTGTTGGTTTGAGCCATGTGGGGCGATGCAGACTAGGTGGTTGGGGTCCACAGGACAAGAGGAACCAGTGGCTGGAGACTCTATGTGATGGGATGGCTGAGAACCGATGTCAGTGGCGCAGTTGTATACACACATTATCTTAACAGCTATACCGATCCTTACTATTTTGTCATCCTTTCTTTCTTCTCGTACTTTATATTTCTTTTGACTGAATTTTCTTATTTTCATCTTTCACCTCACTACCTTTTTACTTGATGTGATGATATGAGCTGTGGCAACTTGGATCGTTACGCAGTAATGCCTGGTCCTATGTTCACATTGATGATGATGATGATTGACAATACCAAACCAAAGAAATAGAAACTTTCTCAGTATTTCGATCCTGAATCATTCACCGCTGAATTCAGGGGATTCAGCAGCAAGCTACTTACGCGACTTCACGTTGGTCCTCTGCTGATATGAGTTCTAAAGAAGGCGAATATCAGACGCCTAGAATATGTCGTCTCTAGGTGATAACAAGTGAGAATAATCATCAAGAATCATCCCCTAGGACCCCTCAAGGTGGATAAACTCAACCTTGTGAGGGAGGCTGCCAAGTCTCAAGATATCACTACTCTACAAGTTATAGATTCCAGTCATGACTAATGATAGTGACAGTCTAGTTTGTGCACCTTACGGCACAGACAACTGGTTACACTCATGGTTTACTTTTTCAACCAGGTAATGCCCATGAGCATTCAAGGTTCATTCTCATCCCAATCTGTCAATAGTTTTGTCATTCTGGTTTGAACCTCTGGTCACCTAAAAAGTCTGTGTGCACATGTGAGATCATAAGAAGTAATGAAGACAAGCATGAATGAATAAAAACGAATGCACAAGTGTCTTTCATTACTCAGTGGCTTGGCGGAAACGCTCTGGAGATTGAAGCGACAGTCGCCAACCTCGATTCTCGTAGTGAACGCCACCATTCACCGACCTGTCGATGCATCATGTTAAAGAGTCTCAAATGCGTATCAGGGACTCAGTTGATATCTAATACTAGGTAAATTACTGGGAACATGGATGTGCCTAAGGTCAACCAGGTGTTCAACCAGCTCCAAATAGGTGGCCTGAACACCAAGTGTTATTGGCACAAAATCCTTTGGGAATCTTATTTTCTTCGTGTCGTTTATTCGTTAATTGCGTTCATTGTGGTACTTTTCTGTTGTACAGTTTCTTCTGCGTTTATATCGATTTGTCTTCTGTTAAAATTGAACCGGCTTTATTTTGGGTAAGTTCTGCGATGTTACAAGGCAGTCAACCGCAGCCTTTTTTATAGTTTGTTATCTACACTTCTCTATGGTAAATGATTTCCTGTTTTTCATAATTTAGGTCATTATGGATGAAGAGGATGCAGCCTTTATCCGTACTTTGGCTGTTGCTCCTGCTCATAGATCACCACAGGTATATTTATTTCTCATCTTCATGCTTCCTTTTGTTTATTTGCATATTACCTCTGGATATTTCGATTGTGTTGAAGATGTATCAAATGCATGTCGAAAAGTGACATGTTGAAACAGACATGTTTTCTCTCCTGAAACTGCTTTCGGCTATTAATATTCAGTGCTATTCAGGATGCACTGATACACTAATTCATATCACACCTAAAAGTACGACAATCAAGAAAAACCAGGGAGTTGTGAAAAGATAGCACTAATATAAATAGACTAATATAAAACTAACGAGGGGAAAATATTAGCAGCACACGACATCGGGTTACCAACTTCTGAACAGCACAGTTGTATATTACATATCTCACTAGTTACTAAGATGCACCATAATGAAATACGCAATAGTCTCGGAATGACTGTACAATGAGCCTGCATACCTACAAGAGCCTATCGGTTGTGCTTGCAGGATGGTCATTAGTCTACCTAAACTGGGGAAAAAGCCAATTTTGATCAAATATAAGCAAAACCTTGGATATATTTTTTAGTGTTCTATGCATTAGTTTCGATCTTACCTCCTAAACACAGCTATGAAATCAGCGACATATCACTTTTCTGGAAATAACTTACAGCATCTGACGCATATGTTACATGTTTCACTATTAGAATATGTTAAGCTCATTTGTGAAAAAGACTATGAAGTATGTACCAATAGGAAACTGTGCATCGTATGGCCTTTTTCCTTTCATACTATACATGTGAGTAGTATTACTAATCAATGCACTTACTACTTGAAAAACTTCAGGAGAATGCTGCTATTTTCGGTTATCTGCGTACAATCGAAGGTTTAAACATTTCTGGCCCGTCATCAGCTTACCGAGATGCTGAACTACGTACAATCAGTCATTTTGCTCGTTATCGTCGCGTTCCGGGTGATGTATTATTGTATCACACTGGCGAATGGTGCGATTCGTGGTTCATCCTAATTAGTGGATCAGTACTTATTGAAAGCTCAATGTTTTTACCTCGAGCATGGTAAGTGAATATTTCTTGTTTTCAAATCTTGTTAAATGGACAGTAATAAAGCAGTTCTAGCACTTGAGTAGTCAGAACTTCACTCAGCTACCTTGTACACATTCGTACAGTAGGAAATGGGTAACATCTGTTGTGTGAGGACTAGTGATACTACCTGGCTACCCAAACCTCTGTAGGTGGAGTGGGGCCCAAATCTGTGACTCAGTGGTTGGTAGTCATCTCCCTAAACCACCGAGTTACAGCTTCACATTTCAGTAGCCGTGTATTGGTTCGTCGTTTCTTTCCTTCCATATTGTCCTGAAGCAGTTATCATCAAAATATAGTCTGGTCCAGTCGGTTCAGTTTTAGTTCTAGCATTTCATCTTACTGTATTAATATTCCCAACCTGTGTACAGATCGTTTTGTATGTTCATTGATCATCAGTAAACCACTCTTAGATTAATGCAATTCTTTGTCATTGTCATACCACAATGATGATATTCACTCGTCGTAAAATAGTGTTTAGACCCCTGCTGTTTAGTTTCTGAAATCCCACTGCTTTTTTATGTTATACACCTAACGTCACCACCTCATTGAAAATATAAATGTTCATAGTGAGCTACTTCATATTACTCAGTTAAACCATTAATGATCTAAGTGAAATAAAAACATGGTCGGCAGTCGGATCTTATGGCTCAATTGGTAGAGCACCGGGTTGGAAACCCAGTGGTCGCTGGTCCGAATCCTGCCGCGGTCTAAATTTTCATTTCACCTTCAACCATTACCCAGTATCGACTAAAAACCTTCATATGGCCTCACCTTGTGTATTTGTAGGTGTAAGCGTAGCAATAAACTCATTTGTGTGTGAGAAGTGCTTTGAAGAGTCAGAATTTAGCCCGTTCTATTGTTTTATGTGCATATGATGTTGCAAAAAATTACAATCATCAATATCCATTCTTAGCCGATATTCACCGACAAACACCGACTGCAGACAGATAAAATCAACGTAGAACCTCTCACATAAGTCCATCGGTTCAAGTTGCCACACTTCAAAATAGCTTACGAAGAACAACTGCACAGAAAAAGGCCGATGTCGAAGTAATCGAAGGAGTATGAGAGGAGTAGAAATTTGGAAGTTAAGGTTAGTGCGAATATTGAAACCCCGGAAAATGTTAAGGAGTGAATGCATGTGCGCCATTGTGACCGATTTTCAGCCCTCGAAAAAGGTCTCCAATCATTGATCTCTATCACCTCGGGGACCTCAGTCACCTAGTGTTCACCTCACTACATGGCTTAGACCAACAATCAGAGACTTCGTTTATTGGTGTGACCCTCTTGTTCTGACCACCTTGAACCCTCTTCCAACCTAACCCAGCTCCTAGCATTGCACATCAAGGTAGGTTCTGGCTTGGCGTATACAACACGTCTAAGTGACCTCAGTCGATGAAGGTTCATAACCTCATCGACCGACGTACCTGTTTTCCCTAGTACCTCCACCTCGGTAACAGCGATCCCACCAAACACGACCAATGTTACGAAGACACCTATGGTCAAAAACCCGTAGTTCCTTCATACCTACGTTTTACGAATATGTATCAGCAGGACAGAATGGACTATAGCGCAGTACACTCATCCTTTAATAGATAGTCAGATATCTCACCAGTCAGCGCTACAAATGATGCTCCTTGACAAACGACAAACAGACATTCTGTATCCCAGCCGAAATTTCGTCAGCAACCAACCCGTTAGAGCTGATGCAACTCCCCAAGTAAGCGAAGTGGTCGACACATTCCAATAACCACTTTCTATCATTAAACTGGGAGTTGTTGCAACAGACTAGTCCTAAAGCGTCATCTTACACTTGACAGGCGTCAGCGAAATACATGCTGAACATACTCAGATTTCTGCTAAGCGTGTTCAAAAGACCCTGCATCGTGTCGGCGTCTTCATGTAGCAGGACAATATCGTCTGCTTACTCCAAGTCAACCAGATGACCTCAGGCGTATAATTCAACTCCTGTGAAGTCAGAAGTACCCAAAGTTATGTCGATTAATATGTATATAACGAAGTTAAATAGGAATAGTGACACTGAGAATCCCTGGCGGACACCACTAGTTTTCGTCAATTCACACGACTGCTGTCCATAAGCTCTTACACGGCTGCTAAAGTTCGAGTAGAGAGCTTTGGTTAGCGTTATATGCTTGCTCAATGCTGCTTCACGTGAAGCACTGCCACAACGCCTCACAGTCGACAGAGTCAAATGCTCCGTTTAGGTCAAGAAATATGGCAAGTGTCGGGCACCGGTAGGTTTTCCTGTGTTTCGAGACCTGTCGGGTGTTGAAAATATGACCGATGCACCCTTGCCGAGGTCTGAGACCTACCAGATCTTTTCGAGTGTACTGTTATCTAGCTCCAGTTGGGCGTCGTATAACTATGGGTCCTGGGATCTTCGAAACAATCTGAGTCAAGCTGATTCTCCTATGGTTGTCGCAAGAAGACATCTCCTCCTTATAGACTGGGATGGTCAGCGAAGTAGACCGATGTGGCGACGCTACCTCTGATTTTCCATACACAACCTAGTAACTTCACTTCAATTAGCAATTTTCTACCTCCATCCTTAAAACTTCGTATGGCAAATCATCAGTTTCTACTGCTTTGCATCATTTCAGGTTTGACTCAACCTTCTCAACTTTAAGAAGAGTTGGAAGACTGACTTCTACGTCTTATTCAGGTCCAGGCTGGTTGCTGAGCAGCCAGAGCGTTTCTGTGGATCAGTTGAAGTGTGCTGTAAAATGTTCCGAGGATTACGAATAGGTGCTGGCTGGTCATTTGATTTCTCCTAGTTTTTACAGATCCATTCAGTCGAACACGGCTGTTGGTTGGTATCCAGTCAAGAAATGCACTTTCTGCTTTACAACTCAATGCTGTGCCTACGCCATTGAGTCCACAGAAGGTAGTCATTGAATCTACGGACACTCGCAAATAAGATTTCGAAGACTCACCACATTGGTCATATGAAATGAAGTAAATAACCACACAGGTTCTGTATATGTGTTTCAGACACATAGCATACATTCATGACTCGAGATTCCACAGCTTTGACAAGAGATGCCTGCTGTGCGATTTGGCATAGGTTTCAGACGTTGAAAGCTCCAATATTAAATCGATGGCAGGGTCTTAGGAGACTAGGGATGAGGTTTCCATAACTTTAATCATTGGAAATGGTTTCGGTGAGCGCTTGAGAAATTTGTAAGGGGTTTAATACTGTTATCAGGAAGTAAAGGAAAGGGGGAAGTAGGCAAGTAGAATACGTTATGTTTGATTGGATCTTGTATATTACTAGAAGGGTGCAGGTAGTTGACACTTCTCGGCTTTTTTCCGGAAGGGTATTTGAGAAAAAGGAAAACACTTGTGTGACCACAGAGCTCATGGAATATCTGCTTGAGGCCTCTCACACACATCCTTCTTAAGGTTGTTGGTTTGATATTTGGTTGTTCTAACGCCGGATGGAGAAAACCTGACACCGCATGATCCCCATCTGCTTCCCACAGGAAGGCAGCATCAGCTTCGCACTGCTGGTCATCCAAGAAAAACACCTTACTACTGCCAAACACCATCCATCAGTGCAACTCTGCCTTCAAATCCCCATCATAGCGTAGCAGTTTACACCATAACGGTAACTGCTTTTCGTCTTATCACTGTGTAACATATCTTTCTGGCATGGCAGAATGTCTGGGGTTTAAGCTTTCCAGCCAGCTTAGATCGTTGGGTCACTTTGATATACAAGCTTAACCATCACTTCAAGGTAGTAGATATCACTCGGGAACACCAACTGAAGTTTGGGTCGCGTAAAGGATAATTTCTTTTCAGACACTTTCATCATGGCTTAACTTTAAGAGCTGATCATACAAGTTAGCAACTTCGGTGCAAAGGTATGGTTGCCAACCCAAGGGATTTTGTGGATATTCTTGAAACACTAACCTGACTGTGGTTGTAGTTTTCTGTAATTTTGCACGAACGACCACTTGTTTCTGACTAAAACCAACTGGATAAACAAAGAGACACTGAACTAGTGATCAGTAATATTGAATATGGGCATGTACGGGTCATCTCATTATTAACTAATATCGGATGCGATCGTTAGAAAACAGCTGCTATATCTGGAGCATTTATTTGGACTCTAGTCATATCTTCGTGAGAATGTCTCAGAAACGTGCAGCTGAGAAATCGTCATGCTCAGTTCAAACTGACTAAACAGTTTTATGAATGGGACAGTAACACTTATTGAGATATAACCTGATTTTATTAAATGTCTTTTGTCGAAAAACGAAGCTTAGTAAAAACCAGTGGATCTCAACAACTTTTTCCGAACTAGCCAATACTGGCTTACTTCGTTTATTACATTAAGTGAAGCACAAATGCAATCATAAGTAACATAAAATGGGAAATTAAGGTTTCAGTAATCAATAAAAGCTGTTGACTATCTAGGCTAACTATACAAACCGGCCTGATAATGGTTACGCTTAGGGAAACTACCTTTGAGTGTAACAAACCAGTTTTAAATTCTTAGTGCACTAAATCAAAACAAAATGGAAAATCTTTAGAAATGGCTCAACAAATCGTTGATCACTTTTCGGTTTTCCGGCATTCAGCTATAAGTTAATATCGGTCATCCAACTCTCTTGGTGAAAAGAAATCGAAATGCACTCAACAGCACTGTGCACATTTGTGCAGTAGGCAATGAACCACACCCGTTTTGTGTGAGATCATTATACTACCTGGCTGCCCAAAACTTGGTAGGTGGGGTGGGGCTCGGACTTGTGACCCACTGACTAACAGTCTCCGCAAACTAGTGAGTCACAGCCCCATCGAGTCACGGGTTCGAGCCCTGCTCCGCCTACCGAACTTTGGGCAGCCATGTAGTATCATTAGCCCTCACACAATAGGTGTGGATCACTCCCTACTGCACGGATGCGCACAAAGTAACTGAGTGCGTTTCAAGTCTATATGAAGAGGATAGTTTCAAACTTATAGTTTGAGAGAAAACCTTTTTGTGGTTAGATCTAGCATTTACGTATCAGGTCTTAATCCTGACAGAACAAAGTAACAATATTCTTTAATCTGTAGATCCGATTCGACTAAATTGACTGTGAGATCTGTTAGTACTGTCTTACCTATTGGTAGGCCTAACAGATGAGTTATACTATTAAATACCCTGTACTTGAAATTGCATACTCCGATTAGTGTTTGTTTGATGTTATCGTATGCGGTAGTGATAACTATTAGTGTCATGCAGAGTTATTTAATGTAATTGCTGTTCAACTTTAACGATACACCGATAAAGGGGACTATATGCATCTCTTTCCCTTTACAAGTTGTCTGCAAAACATACGATTTCTTTCTGGACTTCGATACCTCAGATGTCATAGTCCTGTGAAGTGGGGATGCTGAGAACATCTTGAACATAAATGTAACAATCTATGGATTGAGCTTCTCACCCAGCAATTTGGAAATTATACTTAGCATGTGCGATAGGTTGACATCTGGCTTTATACCAGAGAAAGAACTAATCAGGCCCATCTAAAAGTTCATTTTAGTAGTTGCATAGAACCTAAAGTCGGAAATAATTTTAACATCGTTGCAAAATAACATTTGCACTTATCATCAACAGCAATGGTGAAATGTCCGTTTATCAACAACCAAGTGTGCACCCACTTTAAATGCCCGAGAGTTATGAACTAGGCTGGTGGGTTTGTCTATTGTCAACAAAGTATGTTTTGTTAAGTAAGATAAGTTTGTTTGACACTCCCTTCGAGGTCAAAACCCGCTACAAAACGTTTTGTTCAATAGATGGTATTGTTTTTTCCCCAGTTAAGATCAGAGTTAGCTTAATACTTTAATTCTTAGTACCATAAATTCATTCCGTTTTATCTCTACCTTCTTCATACACAGTTTTGGAACTCGCACAAATGGAAATTTTTATCGTCGCAATGATTGTCTTGTCCTTGAACCATCTGATCTTGTTGTAGTAAGTTGTCTTTACTCTTGTATGTATCTTGTAACTATGATACAGTCAATCACTTTCTGAACTGATTATATCTTGTTGGTGGTGATTATTCATTCAGGTTCTATGCTTGATAATGTCTTTATGAACCCACAATGTTACTATATTCTGTCTTACCATTGTAGCGGTCACTTAAAAGGTTGTGTTAGTCTCTTTTTGTTACTGATCACTTATTCAGAAAATCTTATGAATTGGCTTAATCTTATTGCCAACCAATATACTCTTATTTTTCTTGGTTGATGACGTAACTGTCTAGGATATTCGTTGCTGATAGACTTGTGTATTTCAGAGGCGATAAGTGAAAATGATTTGTTCTTCAAAGTTGTTTAAACCTCAGTGATTTGTGAAAATGACGTAATTTCCTAATATTTTCGGGAAGTCTTTAACCTGACACCACAAAGTATCTATATTCCATAACCTTTAGGTGACATTTGACGACGTTGACTGAAATCCGGTGATAGTGTATGGCTGACTGGTGTGTTCTACAAGGTAGTCGTGAATAATAGTATTCCAAAAAATGATGTTAATTAGTCTGTTCACATTGGATTTCATTGGCAAACCAAAATTCATTTTTAGTTTATCCAGTAACAAGCGAATGTAATACAGTGACTAACTTATATAATTATCGTGATGTTTATGAATTATATGTCTTTTCACTCTACAAAGAATACACAACTACTGACCTACTGATGTACAATCTTTACGGAGTGATGTCAGTTCTTGTGTTGATATTGACTTAACGAAACTAAAATTGATATTGTGCTGTTTGTATTTACAATCTTAAAAACAGGTAAACAATATTCTAGGAATATTATCCCTCAAGCTTAAATTGCGCTATCCCTGTTAGCTGGGAAATTTATGTGGGGGATTTCGTGTTATTTAGCTTTATAATAAACGTACAATCCCCTTAAGATCTGTTTTACGTTACAATTGACAAAATTGTCATTTTTTCAGTAATAGGTCATCAGCAGATTATATAAGTACATAAGAAGGAGCGAGAAGAGGGCCATACGCTGACTGGACCGATGAAAAGACCCCAGAAGAAGATTTGGATTTCGCCGATGATGATTCATGTCTAATGTCGCACAAACTCGAAGATCTACAGGCGAAAACCAACAAATTTGCAGAAGAGGCGAGGCGACAAAGGCCGGACTTCATGTGAACGTAGGGAAAGTGAAGGTGATGAAGATACCCAACTAACAACAACAAGCAGCAATCACCATAAACAGGAGAAATCTGAAGGAATTAGTCTCTTTCACCTACCTAGGCAGCATCGTTTCAACCACTGGTGGCGGCACAGATGAGGATGTGAAAGCCAGGATTGGAATGACATCAAGACAGGCCCTCCTGCATTAATCTGAAATAATCAGTGTGGAGATCTACTACACTGCACTGCACTGCACTCAGCATAAAGCGTGAACAACATCCAGATTTTCAACACTAATGTCAGTCAAGTCAGTGCTTCTATGCGATAGTTGAGAAACTTGGTGCGTTATGGAAAGCATTTCCAACAGACTGCAGACACACATGAATAGCTGCCGCCTACGCTCACTCCATACTGAAAATGGGGATCAGATGGCCAGATTAATAAGAATAAGCCATAAAGAACTCTGACTGGTTGGCAATAAACCAACAAGGAATCCATCGCCCAACAAATAAGCAGAAGAAAGTGGAGATGGATTGGATTTGACATACACTAAGAAGACCGTCTGGGGACATCAAGCGTCACGCTAGGCCCTCGAGTGGAACCCAAATGGGAAACGACTATTTGAGCGTCCGCGGGTGAGATAGAAGAGATGGTGTGAGGAAGAAATGAAAGGTAATGGGCAGTGGTGGAGCCAGGTTGAAAAGACTGCAGAGAACAGAGTGAAAAGACGATGTGCTACTGAAGCTCTATGTTCCACTAGGAACCCAAAGGATAAATAATAATAATAGTAATAAATAGTAGGTGATTGTACGAATCAAATGTGGAACTGTATCTTCCGGTTGTACTTATTCTACTCTTGACTCCTTAAAATAACAAATTTTTACGTCATAAAAAAACCCAGAATTCAATCACCAAACTCAAATTCAACAATCTGCCATCAGCAATACCTCGAATACAGAAGTGCTTTAGTAATTTTTCCCATACTTCTCAAATCATAATAATACTAGAAAGTAATCAAAGTAGATTTGACACTTTTGTTCCAAACATGTTTTCTTAAAGAATCACTCTGCGCTATATAAGAACTGAGTCTAAGTTTGTTTACTTACCTATGAATCAAAAAGGCAATGAGCTACACCTATTATGTGAGGGCTAGTGATACTACCTGACTGCTCAAACCTCGGTAGGTGGAGCGGGTTCTGAACCCGTGACCTTATGGGTGGAAGTTATCTCCGTAAACCAATGAACCGCAGACACTTGCCTATGAATGATAACACCTGCCTGATTTGAGCATACTATTTACACACTGGATCAGCATCTGATGATGTATTCTAGTATCCAAATACCAATTACACAAGTGACGGTTGAATCACATCACTTGTGAGCTTACCATCAGTATGTAATGGTTAGTTTGTTTTTAGATTACTGAGTAGCACCAATCCAATGCATAATATCACTTACCCTTCTTCCATGAAGTGTTCTCTCACTACTCCACTGTTTCTTTTACTTTTCTTGTGCTTTTTAAAGATTGATTATCTGGACAGTGAAAGTTTACCCGTATCATTCACTGATACTCATCGTCAAGCTGTAGCCCCATACAAACACCGAGTAAGTTTCATTCCATCAAAATCAGTCATGTAATTTTGATTTTGATACATGTTGCATCACCCTATTGTTTTAAAGTGTATGTTGGTCGCTAAACCACTGATTAGTATTTAATAATCAACTTGAAAATGGGCTTCATCGGCTCAAAACGCATGGCCTCGAAGCAATGGGTGCTGGGTTCCCACTCGCACCTGGCTTATTTTCAACCTCAAGAACCAGGCAGTATCATAAACTGTCACGCTAATTGGTTCATAACGTAGTATATAAACCGTACCAGGTTCTGTTATTAGTATTATTATCAATTATTATGATTACTCGGGAGACTAGGGAGACCTCAGTGCTTGCAAGAACTGGCGCGGAATCGCTCTCCTGTCCACTCCAAGTAAAATATTAAGCCGCATCATCCTGGAGAGGCTTAAAGATGCACTGGATTCAAAACTGCGACCGGAACAGGCAGGCTTCAGGAAGTACAAATCATGTGCAGACCAAATTGCAACGCTTCGTATCATCATAGAACAAAGCATAGAATGGCAATCAGCTCTCTACCTCAACTTCATCGACTTTGAGAAGGCCTTTGACAGCGTCGACCGAGAAGTAATTTGGAAACTGCTTCAATACTACGGAGTACCGCAAACCTTTATCCGCCTCATTCAACAACTATATGAAGATGCCACATACAAGCCAAGTAATCCACAATGGGAAGCTCAGTGATGCCTTTGAAGTGAAGACAGGAGTGAAACAAGGTTGCCTACTATCCCCCATGATATTCCTTATTGTGGTGGACTGGATCATGCAGCAAACAGTGGGCAGCGAGAAGAGGGGGATACACTGGACGACGGAAAAGAACCTAGAAGACTTGGATTTCGCCGATGACTTATGCCTAATGTCACACAAACTTGAAGATCTGCAGGCAAAAACTAACAAGTTGATAGAAGAGGCAGCCAAGACGGGACTTCAGGTGAATATAGAGAAGACAGAAGTGATGAAGATACCGCACCACCACCACCACCATCAACAACAACAACAAACTCCAATCACCGTCAACGGGAGAAACTTGAAGGAAGTAACCTCCTTCACTTATCTAGGAAGCACTGTTTCAACTACAGGCGGGACGGACGAGGACGTCAAAGTCAGAATCGGAAAGACAGCAAGACAGGCGTTCATTAGCCTGAAACCAGTGTGGAGATCTTCTGCACTCCACTCAGCATGCGGAACAAGATACGGATTTTCAACACCAACGTCAAGTCAGTGCTCTTGTATGGCTCAGAGACTTGGCGCGTCACGAAAGGTATTTCCAATAAACTACAGGCATTCATCAACAACTGCTTACGCTCGCTGCTGAAGATCAGATGGTCAGAAAAAATAAGCAACAAGGAACTCTGGGAACGAACCAACCAACCTATCACGCAACAAATATGCAGGAAGAAGTGGAGATGGATTGGCCATGCACTGAGAAGGCCGACTGAGGACATCACGCGTCAGGCCCTCGAGTGGAATCCCCATGGGAAGCGACGAGTTGGACGTCCGAGGGTGACATGGAGGAGGTCGTGCGAGCAGGAAATGAGAGGTTGTGGGCTGTCGTGGGACCAGGTTCAAAAGATCTCAGAGAACAGAGGTCACTGGAGGCGTGCTACTGAAGCCCCATGTTCCACTAGGAACCCAAGGGACTAATAATAATAATAATAATAATGATTACTCGACTCAAAACCGAAATTTTCAGCGAAGCACCTTACCTTTTTCTCACCTACATTGAGAAAGAGAGAGACGCACTCAGCCACCTTGTCCACATCCGTGCAGTAGGTAGTGAGCCACATCTGTTTTATGAGGGTTAGTTACACTACCTTGCTGCTCGAACCTCGGTACGTTGAGTGGAGTTCGAACCCGTGACCCAATGGTTGATAGTCATCTCCCTAAACCACTGAGCCACAGCTCTACTTCATCTGTATTACAAGCACAGGTGTCAGTTAGCAACAAAAACTTTAACTTATACGCCGTGGAAAAGATGGACAACTTTAATAGAAGTTAAATCTAACGAATCTGGTTTATTTAGACTACCTTCAGATCCACTGATTATTTCTAAAAAAAAAATAGCGATTATGCAATGTATCTGACAATTTGACTAAGGTTTAAATTCCATTCTTAAATTGTTGGTTTAAAATGTCCATCCGAATTGTTTTTCATTTTACAACCTTTCAATCTCGACAACAGTCTTATCGGTACTAGGTGAATATATAATTTTGAATAATTTACGTTTCGATTACATACACATTTGTTTGGTAAAATTTGCATAAGTCAATGTGTGTCCTTTTGTTTGATAAATTAGGAAATGATATCTTGCTGTAAAATGTCATCTGTCCGTCATCAAGAGATTGCCCACTCCAATCTAACTGTATAGTTTTCGTAGTTTGTTTATGTTCATCCTACTCAGTGTGCATTTTCCTATATATCATTATCTCATCATGTGTCATCATTTAAAAAGGTAAAACGCGTGTTCGTTAGGTTTTGAGGAGTAAATTGAAAGGAAGTCCTGTTTGACTTAGGTTTCGTGCTTACTCATCATCCAGTTTTCAGGAAACTCATTTTACCCCGGAGACCTCCAATCTATATCACTTTGTGCTGAACTCTGAAGTTTTACCAGTAAGCTATTCAGGTCACCCGTTTTAGGACTTAAGTATGTGCTCAAATCGGTCACTGCATTGTTATCTACGTAGCCATGAAGTACTAAACACTCAGCACTGACCTGTCAATGAGTGATTTTAATGTATTCAGTTCCTGTATTATATCGTTAAAGTAATTTCTAAACAGTTGGATTATAACGCTGACAAATGTTTTTCTTCTACACCTTTTATTAGCCTTCTCTGGATCTTATATCTAATTCAAATGGTAGTAGTTCACGTGTTATTGGAGTTTCATCAAGTGATCGTTGTTTGGAATTACCTCATAATGTTGGATCACCACTAAAAACTCCACCTTCATCATCAGTCGTTCCTCTCAATCATGAACAAGATAAAAGAATCAGACGAGCTGTTAAAGCTAAGCCAAAACTCGATAGTAATGATCCTTTGAAGTCTTCACACCTAAGCGACACATCATCAGCGCATTCTTTAAGTTCTGGAGGCATTCAGAATGATACAAACCATGGACGCTCATTTCAGTCACCCAATACAACAACTCCAGAAAAACATGATAAGAAGCAAATTAATAATTGTCCTGGATGGTACAAAACTGGATCAGACACTAGTCATTTAGCAGATTCTGAAGAAGACGATGATGAAGAAGACGATGAAGATGAAGAAGATTTTGAATCGGTAGTCATGAGGTTTGTGACCTTTTAACTGAATCATATTTTACCATTTCATTTCGAACCCACTTCAAGAATTGTCAGGGGAATGGTAAAAACTTGAATGTTCACTTAGCACTCAATGCGAGTTTGCTTACTTATTTTGACCTTTTGTCTCAAAATGTCTGAATATGACATACTATATTATTGAAGGCTTTTATATTGACATCATCGAAGCCAGGATCTGAAAAGCAAGACAGGCGTTCATCAACCTGAAACCAGTGTGGAGATCTTCCGCACTCAGCATGTGGAACAAAATCCGGATTTTCAACACCAATACCAGTCAAGTCAGTGCTTCTGTATGGTTCAGAAACTTGACACTTCACGAAAAGCACTTCCAACAAACTACACACATTCATAAACAACTGCCAACGCTAGCTCGTTAATGAAGCTCAGATGGCCAGAATAGCGAGAATAAGCAACAGGGAACTCTGGCAACGAAGCAACCAACAACCTACCACTCAACAAATATGCATTGGAAAGAAGTGGAGATGGATTGGGCATACACTGAGAAGGCCGACTGGGGGGGACATCACGCGCCAGGCCAGTTGCTCGAGTGGAATCCCCATGGGAAGCGACGAGTTGGGCGTCTGAGGCGAGAGTGACATGGAGGAGATCGTGCGAGGAAGAAATGAGAGCTTGTGGGCTGTCGTGGAGCCAGGTTTAAAAGATTGTAGAGAAGAGAGTGGAATAGAGATGTGCTACTGAAGCCCCATGTTCCATTAGGAACCCAAGGGACAAATTATAACAATAATAATTTATATTGACATCTTTTCTCAACATAATAGGTGCTATTCATTTTTATACAATGATTAAATGAGTCTTGATCGTTTAGTGCATGAAGATCTGATTCGTACTGTATCAAACCCCATACATATGAAATAGTGTATGATCACGAACAGAACATACCAATTCACCATCATTATCAACATAGGACCAGGCATTACTGCGTAACGGTCCGAGTTGCCACACCTCATATCAGCACATCAAGTAAAAAGGCAGTGAGGCGAAGGATGAAGATAAGTGAATGCAGTCAAAGAAATATAAAGTACGAGAAGAAAGGAAAGAGGAGTGACAAAATGGTGAGATTCAGTATAGCGTTGTTAAGATGAGGATAATGTGTGTATACATCTGCGCCACTGACTTCGGTTCTGAGCCATATCACCTAGGGTCTCCAACCACTGGTTCCTCTTGTCCCGCGGACCCCAACCACCTAGTCTGCATCGTCCTACATGGCTTAAACCAACAGTTAGAGACTTCATACATTGGTGCCATGTTTTAGTCTGGCCACCTCGGGCCTTTTTCCAGCCTGGACCCACCTCAGCCAACATTGTGTGACGAGGCAGTCGGTGACTAGCATACGTAGTACGTGTCCCAACCATCTCAGTCGATGAAGGTTCACAACCTCGTCAACTGACTTACCTCTTCTCCCCAAAACTCTACACCTAACTTCTGCATTACTCACATGGTGACACCACGGAATATGTCCTATACTACGAAGGCAACGGTGGTCAAACACCTGAAACAGCCTTCGCATGTCTTCCACCTTCAATGGCCATGTTTCACAGCCATACGTAGAACAGACCGGACTGCTGTGCAGTACACGCGACCCTTAATAGACAAACGAATATCACGGCGGCGCCATAGGTGGCGCAAATTGGCAAAAGCCAATCGAGCCTTTTGTATCCGTATCCGTACCAAGTTGGATGTATATAAGGAAGTTTTAGCGCTGGTTTAAACAGTTAAAATTTATTTTATGCATAAATACTATTTTAAAATCCACTCAGACATAAACACTTAGACAGATTGATAGTATCAATATCTTTCGCATAAAAGTTTAGTATATATATATATATATATATATATATATATATATATATATATATATATATATCGCTATGCAAACTGTGGGTAGGAAAATGCCTTTCGACAAATACTTAAGAGTAGCTATCATTAAGAGAAATATAAGTAATAACACTAGAATAAATATCCTTAAGTTTTGTGAATAACACTATTGTATAAATCCTGATAGGGACAGTGATCTTCATCATAGTCTGTCATATGAAACTAGTAATTTCTAAATAAGAAAAGAAATGCATTGCTATACTTCAATTATCAATTCTCGTCATATACCTAATGTTGTCTTATTTGATTAATTTCAAAAAATATTATTTTGACAGTCTATTCGTGATGCTTTTTGGGAGTCAATTCTTAAACTACCCTCAGAACGTACACAGGAAGATATTGATTTGCTATTGGAAAATGTTGGACAGTTACCTGTAAGTTTCATGTGATAACTACTTTTTACGTTAACAATTCTGTTGATAGGTTTGTTTTTCTTATCTTTCAACTAATCATATCACTTTGTCTTTCTAATCACACTTACATTGTTTTTGGAATACAGCAGAAACACTCCAATCCAATACTAATTATACACATTCTAGGATCGTATTTCAAGTTTCCATCATAGATAGTTGTTTGTTCCAATCAAGTAGTCATTGTGAAAGAATTTTCTGTATTCAGAAATAAACAGCTATCTTTTTTTGAGTGACTCTAAAGACCACCCTAACACCTACTGAAATAACCAATTAGATTTCTATATTTTATTTTTAAAAAAACTAATTTTAGAGGCCGAAATAAATAAACCTGATTGGCTATTTCACTTTTAGCTGATGTGGCCTTTAAAATGAACCGATTATTTTCAAAATCTTGACAATAAGTAGTCGTTTCCATTGTTTCATTTTAATTATGGAGCTATAGCTCATTTGTGTAGATAGTTGATTTCTAATCAGTCGGTTACCAGTTGAAACTCCTCTCACCTACGGAGGTCTAAGCAACCAGGTGGTATCATATGTACTCACACAGTTCTGGTGTATAAAAGTACAGGTTCTTGCTGGATTACATGCCTTCATTGATTTATTTAGATTGTATATTCTGTTCTTTCTGATGTCTCTAGGAATAAAAGTGATAAACATGACTCGTGTTTAGGAACATTAACAGTTGTCATTTATGACAGTTATAACAGTATTAAACTGCTTCCTAAATACCCTTTGAGTGGGCATGTAATGGACTACGAAATATCTTCGTTTCCGTATTTGTAATGTAAACTAGAAACACGTTAAAAAAATGAGTTCCATGCATCCTTCTAAATCTCTGCTCAAACACTTTGCTATGCGTGCGTACGTATAACCGAACTCATCAAAAGGACATTATAGACAGAAAAAAAATTGCTAGTGGAACGAGTATTAGGTAGCAGAAACTAACATAAACAAAATGTAGTTGGAAAAAAATACAACTATGGTGTCACATACTGTTTTAGATAACAAATCTCACAGTCTTGAGTAGCTTTTCTTACTACTGTACAGCAAATCCCAACACAAATGAAAGCAATACATTAAGACTTCATTGATACTTACACTTTCATCACTTCAGACTAGTTTCTAAATCTCTCTTGCAAAAGGCTTTATTATAAAAACAGCCCTGTGAAATCAAACTAGAAAAAGAAGCAACATTACTTACTAAAATCACTTTCTATGGTTGTCTCAAAGAATAGCGTATGTGATCCCAAAATAAGAAGAGGACATATTTGATATAAACATCAATGTTAAGCTTTAATATAAGTGAAAAACTTGGGCACTGTGGTAGAATGTAGTTCCATATTAGATTTGTTTATTTGATATAAAGCGCACAGTGATACAGTATTATTTAATTGATTACGTTTCGAGCATAAATTATTGCTCATAATCATATCAATGTAATCACACTTCTTTCGATATCTGATGTTATAGTCCTGTCACCTGATCTCTCTTTGTTTTTTGTTTTTTGATTGGTAGTAAAGTTTTCCATATCTCTGGTATAGGTGTTGCGTCATTCCTATTACATGTGTTGGGTGTGGATTCGATGAACAAAGATTCAGTAATCAATCTCTCTCTCCACCTAGCTATATTAGACTTAAGTACAGTGGTTTTGTCCCATCCTATTGTGTGGTTGTGTGTTAATGAATGTAATGCAATGGCTGAGTGTTTTTCTAGGTCATTGATCTTATTGGGGTCTGCCGTTCTATGTTTAGCTAAATGTTAAGCTTTCCCAAGAACTTCTTAATTAATCTATATAAAGAGGTGAAGGGACATGGTTTGACCGAGCTATAAACAATAGCCTGAAAGGTGGTCTGATATCAGTTGAGCTACCTCTCAAAGTACTCTCCAATATTTCGGCTTTTTTTCTCAAGAATAGGATCACTTATCTCTAACCACTGGTTGATTTACAGCCTTCACACTGGTAGGCTGAAAAACATGGTAAACGCTTTTAGCCGTCATTTTAAGCAATTCATCATTGATCAATTCACATTCTAACTGGCTGTTTTCATGTTGGAAAATTATAAATTATCACCCACTATTCTATAAAAGCGAATCAAATCCACTAAACTTTATAATGTTGGTGTAACTGAGGTATCCAAAGTGTACCACAATTGTGAGTCTCCGTGCTTGGTTACTCTTCGTTCAACGTGTTAATATGAAGTATTGAAAATTAGACTGTTAGGCAAATGTTCCAGATTCTACGTTGTTAGTTGACTTTTCAGTTACAAAAAAAACTCACATTTGAGAAGGTATATGCTAGTTCAGCTGGTTGTCATAAATAGATCGCTGCTTCACAAATTTTAACTGAGGTGTAATGAATCTAGAATGTTGATATGGCTAGGATATGTGTAGTGAGAAATGCTTTCTGGAATTTTTAAAATACTTTCTTCAGGATATGACTACTCAGGTTATTACATGGAAAGTGTAGCATACGAAATTATCATAAGGAGTAAAATACGGTGGGCAAAGAAAACCATAAATAATTGAAGGGATTGCAATCTTCAAATATCAACGGAATCATCCTGTTAGTTATACATTCGTGGAAAGGATAGAACATTCTAGAGTAATTCCTGGCCAAAAGTCAATATAAGTTGCATCACAAAGGAAAGTCACATGATGAGAAAATAAATAAAAATACTACAAAATAAAAAAACTTGAGTCAAATGTGGGTTATTTGGAGTGATCGGTATTCTACGATGGCTATGACAAGAATTTTAGTCTGTTAGAAAACAGCATGATTTCTCTGGATGTCACCTCCCTATTAACAAATGTCCCACTAACGGAAACCATTTGTTTTCTATGTAGCTTCATTCAGTCCCATAAATTAAACATTAGTATTCCAAATCACTGTTAAAAGAAAATTCTCAAATGCATTTTCAGCTTGCCGTTCAGGTTTAACAACGAAACCTACAGACAGATGGCGTGGCAATTGAATCACCTCTAGGACCCGTCCTAACTGACTGCTTTATGGTAAGCCTGGAAAACACGACGTTATCGAAAATCAGCGAGCTTTATATCTATAGAAAATACATAGATGATACCTTTACTATTTGTGACGAGAATACGAATCTCGGAAACCTGCTTCAAACCTCTAATAGTACTCACCCCTGTATGAAATTCATTCTAGGAGCAGAGTGGAGCTCGAAATTCCACTTTCTTGACATCCAACTTCAAAGATAAGATAACCATTCAGTCTAGATATCTATTTATAGGAACCCTTCTTGGGACGGGGAGTTCATTAATTTTCAAAGCTGCATCTCCTTAAGCAGAAAAAGGAATCGTACCAATTCACTCTCCTCAAGAATACGAAGAATAGGCACTGAGGATACCACTGAAGGTGAACTAAAAAGATTGCGAGAAATCCTGATGAAAAATGGATACCCACAGGAGTTTATAAATAAGAATCTAAAACTGGAAAACACCCCAAAATGCGTGCATGCTGCTCCGAAAAAGATTTTACCGTTGAACCTCGAATTCAAGGAAAATAATGTGGCAGACATACTTAGAAAGAGACTATTAAGATCCATGAACAGAACATTCTTAGTCGTCAATCTTAGAATCATATTTTCCTGTTAGAAACTCATTCATTAACCTGGAGCTTTGGGCCACATAAATGTATGTATATCAGTCTGCTTACTCCCATAGAACTGAGTACATCGGTCGTACCATGCCCAGGATTATGCAACGCGCTCGTGAACACCATCTAACTTGGTTGACAAGGGGAAAACGGAAATTCATCAACAGCTCTGTAACAAAACACTTAGTAAACTCAGGACATTTGGCTCCTTTTAGTAAGTCCTCCCAAACTCTGTACAAAGTTCGACCAAACCACTCAAAAGGAGTGAGGCTAAGGCATCTGGCCATATCCGAAACATTAGCGATCCAAACCATCACTATGCATTTCTTTGCTATGCCCATCATAGAATATCGATCACTAGGAAACTACATGTGACGTAACTATTTTTTATTTTGTAATCATTTTGTTTATTTTTCCATCATGTAACTTTCCTTTGTGATGCAACTTATATTGACCTTTGACCAGAAATTACTCTGGGATGTTCTATCCTTCCCACTATCTATTCACAAATGTACAGTTAAGAGAACGATTTTGCCGGAAAGAAATTATTCTCTTCGCTGCAATTGTCTTCTGTGTTTTTCTATGATCAAATGGGATTACGATCATATTTTTATTTTAACAGAATTAAGAAAACAGAATCAACTATGCCACGTTACTCATTGATTTTCATTAACTGTAGTAATTCTGTCATTTGATATAAGTTCATAGCCTTATCAACTGTTGACCCTGCATAGCCGATGATCAAGTACTCGTACTTATTTCATCCACTATAAACAAAAATATACAAGTATAATATAGCAGAAGCAAATCCACTACTGATCTGTAAAATAAACTATTGAGAGTTCAGTCAGTTAGTACTTTCCCATCTTTTTCACTACTATTAACCGCTTATCGTTTTAATTGTTATCATGATCTATATTATAATTCTTTCGTTTTCGTTCTATACCTTTTTTCATCATTAATTGTCTGTACATGTAAGTAGACATCATCTGCTGTCTAAACTGCTTGTACTTTATCTGTTTTTCAACAAATTTTTCTTTTTTTGGCATTATGCCAACAGTTTCTTTGCAATTCAATACATCTACTTACTTAAAAAGTAATCTACCAAAAGTTCTAAGATTTTCTTCTTGATTTGTAGAAGTAAACATAACTTTATGGATAAAGTGTAAAATTGATCTGTATATTAAACAGTTCACATTAAATACTAAACTCAATATCTGATAATGACTGTATGTACATGCACACATTCGTCACTATGATATATTCATCATGATAAAATAGGCGTATGTTATAATTATCCTCATATGTTACTATTTATTGGTGTGCCTGTAATTCTTCGCTTTTTAACTGAATCGAATTGTTCGACCTCTATTGGTATATGGGCTCCTATACGGATGACTCGATATAGTTTGAATATTAATCATGGTGGTGGCTATCATGCCTCAGTGGTCTAGTGGATAACACCTTGGCGTTTAACGCGATGGGTACGAGGTTCAAGTCTCAGCGGGAATAACATCACTCATTGGGGTTACAAGTACATCCAGCTGACGAGTCCCAAGTAGAATGAGATGTGCGTCAGGCTGGATTCCTCTGCTAGCCACGACCGAGTGAATTGTCCTGATATGTGTTTCCAGTGTTTTTTCTTATTACAGCTTTTACTTTTAGATGTGGTATATAGAGATTTATGATGATTCTAGGTGATATTTACCCTTTAAATCGAGCGGAAAAATAATTTTTCAGGGTGTGATGAAGGGTTTGAGCGTAATCTTTTGCACTCCTTCAGAGTTCATTGAAAAAGGAAGGGAAGGAGTTGTTCATTTCTTTGATAAACGGAAACTCTATAAGAATACTTGTCATAATCGTGTAAAAATGATTAACAAGTCTGATTATTGATCATCAAGTCATTTTTCAATATATTTCCCATATTATATTATCTTTCTGAAAATCTTTTTATCCGATTAATTGTTTATCATTTCATTCCAACGTTTAGGCTTTCTCTAATTTAACTAAAGCCACTTGCCGTTCTCTATGCTTTGTGATGGTGCTTGCAATTGTACGAGAAGCTGGTCAAATTGTTTTAAATGATAATGAAAAGTTAGACACATGGTCTGTAGTACTTAATGGGACTGTAGAGGTTAGTAGTACTTTTTAAAAATTCATCTACTTTTTGTATATTGCCGTGAATAGATATATTTTTTACTCACAGTTGATCTCATCAGTCCAATAATAATGTCTAAGAAAACCTATAAAATATACACATTCATATACTGCTGAGATGTGTTTATCAATTAGTGGAAATACTCTGGCAGAAACAAGAATTTGACGTGAATATTCATGGTTCGAGCTATAATTTTTTTTACCATGATATACATTCCAGTGAAAATTGTTGCTGGATATTTCTACTAATACATAAATGACTGAAATATAAGCAGTAACATTTTTTTTACCTTCGCTCATTTTATAGGGGAAATAGGTAATTCTCACATTTTAATTTGTAGCAATATTTTGTTTATGTATCAGAATATCGATAACTAAGTTTGGTGAACTGATACTGAATATTTGGTGACGATTTATGTGTGTATAATTAATATACATGCAAGTATATATGTACACCCTAATGTCACTTAGCTTCACATGGAATTGAACCAAAAAAGCAAAATAACGAGTGATAAGCAAGTCTTTAAGGTCAATATTTTTCAGAGTCGAATTTTATGCACTGTCGAAATAAAACATTCATTCTAAGTAGGTTTTTTTTTCTGACAGCTAGTTCATATCATTCATGAATGCTTCACCATTTTTCGACAGCACAAACGATGATCTCGCTTAGCGCACAAAATGAATACTAACAACTAATATACTATGATTTAACTTTTCTATTCCTAGTCCTTTCCCAATCAGATATTATCGACAAAATTGTCAGTGTTTTTGTGACTTAATAGATTGAACCATGATATCTAACCGTAATCAGAGTATCGAAACGTTTTTACAAACTACCGGTTCATTTATTTCTTACACAATCTGTGTATCTCCATTGTCTAGTACGTAAACCTGCACACCATTATTGAACAAAATTGATTTTTTAAAGAATTCTTTCGCTTAACTCAACGCTGTTTGAGTCACCAGCCAACACAGTAATATAGCGCTTGACGCTCCCTCACTACCATGCGGACTAGACGTGAAGTCAAAGGCTCAGAGTTTTTTCCCCTAAATGACAATCAGCTTCAATCTTTGTACATGGGATGAATCTCAGCACTCGTACAAACCATGAAGACTGTCAAGCTCATTAATAGCCCTGTTATCACTGATCATGTTTTTAATATCTGGAACCTTACTCAATTTAACTGTTTTCTTTGTGTACATACTGAATTTTATCTATATAGTTTCCGCTCTTAGCTTTCTCTTTATATCACACATGTATTCATTATTTCTTAAAATTCATATCTTTCTCTAACCGTTTTGAGTCAGTAGACGGTTGCATTCACTAACTATTCTTTCGGTGCAATATCCAATCAAACTATTCTACAGCCACACCGTCACACCCTTAATGTGTTCAACCTTCGCACTATAATCCCGAACTGTGGAAAGCCTTACTATTTATATGTACTGTATCTCAAAAATCCGCCTGCAAGATCTCAGTGTAGTGCTTTGTATAGCTTCTCCATTTGTCACCTCGATCGCGTCTTGAAGCATCGACGTTTAACTTTACTGTTGTCGGTGTTCTAGCAATCACTAGAACCCAAATTTCACTACTCAGCTGGATCCTCATTCGCAGTCATCCCTGTGCTTTTGGGCTAAAAGGTCTTATTAGAGTGAGCAGTAACTGAGAATAGAAACTGTCTCTCTTTATCGTCTCTGTCTATCATTCAATGCATTGCACTCCGGATGTAGCTCAAGATGAGCTATGGAATCGAATAAGAGTCCTCTGTCAGGTGAACCTAATACATATCATGATGCTCGTTCGGAACTTGATTATGCAGAGCTGTCCTGGTAGTTAAAGAGGATAAATCGGTCTTCGTTTGAATAATACTGATCATCCCTCTTTAAAGCTTTGTTATGGATCGCAGCTTGTTTCCAGCCAGTATTAACTTCCGTCATAGTCATCATTGATGTGCTACCTTGCATCGTCCCTCTGCCATTCAAGCCTGATCTGAAACACAACACAATTAGCTTTCGATGGTGTGTGTGTGCTTGTAGGATTGCTGTTCCTACCTCTTGAGCACCTGTTCAGACTTAGATCATGGTTTGTTATCCATTCAACTTGAATTTAGGTGGTCATTAAAATCGTCATCCTAAACAGGTCGGCGTAAACAAATTCGTCTTAGTATACTGTACAAACATCAAATGAAGTTTAGCTCAAAGTTAGTTATTTCCCTCTGGTCAATAACTGTAGACAAAACTAACTGTACTCGCAAAACACCTTGAAGATGACAAGTAAAGCCTTTTTTGATTCGGAAACATATCTTAGTCGCAAACACATGGTCTCTTTGGGACCAACACCACTTCTTAGTGGCGGATAGCAGTTACAACGATATGCATAAGTCCCTTAAGTAAAAAGTTACTCAGCGCTTTATCGAAAACTGGGGATTTTGGCAGTAAGAATACGTAAGTGACATGAAGGCACAAGCTTCATATAGCAATAATTGGAAAATATACTAGCTCATGCATGCCGCTGATATCAGTAAGCGTGGTATTGGTAGATAATACTTCGATTTACAATTTTCAAAGACACCTATGATACTGATCAATGCATTTCGATAAACAGTGTAGGTGACCTACAGCTCTATTAAGCTCTGTCTCATCGTCTTTTGCTCCATATTTGATTGGAACTGATTTCCTTAAAGAAACAAAGGTCTACACACAAGTTAAGCAAACACCCTGCTACAGCTGACCCAAGAAATCTACTTTGCTCACTTTTAGAGTAAAAGGCAAGACCTCAGTAGTTATATGAGGTGGGGCAATTTGGACCGTTATACAGTAATGTTAGATCCCATGTTGATATTCACTGACTGAAAGTATTGAGCTTCACTGGTTTACCGCTTTTTTTAGACAATGTCACCACTCCGGAATAAAGTCATTGTTATGTCCATCTTTGAAGAAGACTTGCGTAGTTTATTTAGCAGTTATCAGGGTACTAGTCTGAATAAAAGTAGTTGACTATTATCACTTAGCAGACTGTCAAACGCGTGAAAACTGATGTGTGAGGAGTAGGTCGTGGATGTACGGACAACGCTTTCACTCTCCGTTAGATATTTTAACACCGTCACACGTATATCAGGCCGACAACCGTTTTTTGCCTTCTTAGTAGGACTCTCTTCGATTCCTTCTACTAAACTACACTCCCAAATTATCTTTTGGGGAGTAGCGTCCTTGAATGGCCGTTTACAAAAATACATCACGTAGAGTGAGGAGCATAAAACCACTTCTCTCTTTTCCATACCTGCAACCAAGTTAGAGGGAGCTACTCTATTTCATCAGCGCGTGCAATGCTGTAGATCTATTATCTCATTTGACTTTTAGTACTTAGAAAATTTAGTGTTATTATGAGAGCACAGGGGCTACTCTACCTGCACCCTGTCAGTTGGCGATCAGTGTTCACGCTTTTTACCATCGAAGTCTATTGTGGTTTAATATAAGTGGTAGGAGCATGTATCTGCACTCAGTCTTGTTGGTGATCTATTGAAATGCGAATAATATTTCGTTCGTCAGTGTAACCAAGGTAGATATAGATGATGAGATGAATTATCGTATCCTGCACCGAAGAGGTCCACGTTTCGTATTGTCAGCACCATAAGTAGTGATGAAAAATGTTTGCATGTACATTTCAATGCGAAAAACTTTGTTTTACAGTTTGCAGACGATCTTTTTGAATTTATGGTGTTGAATGGTTCTCCAGGTTTGATTTCCACTTTCTCAGTAGAACTGTTTGAATCAGGTGGTAACATCATGTAAATAATTTCGAGGTCCAATTGTTTATGTTTGACCATGACGGAGACCATCATCGAATAGTTAGTCATCTTGAGACACAGGTACCTATTCCGTTCACTCTTTTCGAATCTTGAGACTAGTCGGAAAAGATGCAGATACGGTCATCCCATAGCCTAATGCGGTCAGATGAATGATAATTGCCTTAAGTTATCACTTATTGGTGTATCGTGTTTCCTTCAGAAAACCAAACTCTGTAACTCAAGAAACTATCATAACCAATAGAGATCATAGTGAACTTATCTTCTGTCTTTTACCATTGAAAAGTACAGCAAAATAGTGAGAACTTTTCGAATGTATTTTGCAACACTGAATTTTGACCATTGTGTTGCCTTTCTTTATAGCTTCCTTATAAACTTTATCATATTGTTTTGTGTGATGGAGCACTAAAGTGATCCATATTGTACACCGAGTTTGTGTTCTAAATCAATAATAGTTATATTTTTTGTATGATCCAGCATAAATTACCACATATTATAAGCGTAACAAATAATGTTTTATGTAGTCGGCAAAGAACTATGAACACTACCTAGCTAATGATCATATAATACATACAATACTTTTTATTATTGTCACATGAAGTTGACCTTTTTGATTCCATACCACACTGTTCTCCTTTTCCCCCTTTAAAACTGCTAAGATTTTTATCTTCATAATATACAATATAAGGTTATGTATTCTCCCACTGTAATAAACTAATCGATCTTTGTTGGATATGTTTGACAAAAAGCTGATCAATGCCTTACATCTTGTTCATGTTCGAACAAAGTGTGTACGGTTGTCTGTATAATAATTCTCTCTATCCCTAAATATTTTTCTAGTACATCTCTTTCATGTTAATCTAGACATTTTTACATTTACGTTATGTATGTGTATATATGGGTATATTCGTTTCTAAGTCACTAGAACCTGCTCTATGATTCATATTGTGTCCAGTCCACTGTCACTAATTGCACACTGTAACTGTAAGAACCAAGTAAGGATAGATGAAAGAAGCGAAATAACCAGCATATTTGTTAGCTGAATATTATCCTAATCATAAGGAAAATTCCTCGTAAATAACAGTTTGGTGTCTTGGTTACACTAACGTGCTTCTACTGCAGAAAAAAGTATTGGTTCCAAATATTCATTATCAGAAATGTATGCGCATAAAATTTGTTTACTTTTACTGAAGAATGAAGATTTCTCGCTAACGGGATGGCTATTTGACATTGATATTAGTAGCGTCCTGCGCCGCACCTCTTTAGTTTAAACAGTTGACATTCAAGTTGGTATTCGTCATGGGCTGACATCAGTTGGAGAAACATTGGAGACCTGGGAGCACTGGGCAACTGTTTCGTCCTAGAATGCGACTCCTCGGTAGGGAGCACCCATGACCCTGCCCCGCCAGAGATCGAACCCGGGACCTTCAGCATGTTACCATTGAGCCACTGGGCCGGAATCCAGTGGTCCATATTTCCAACTTCTGTCAGTTCACGGCATAGTGCAACCACCACCCAATGTCGTTGTTTAGTATTTGTCCTCATGGCCACTAGGTTTGCCCCACTGGTCCCGATTTCTTGTTGGGACTTCAGGAATCACCTCTCGAAGCTAGTCACCAATGAGTTCCAGACTAATTTAATTTGGGGGTTTGTGGAGATTTATTGATTTTTCAAGTTGGAAATATGGGTCATTGGATTCCGTCCCAGTGGCTCAATGGTAAAGTGCTGACTACAAATTAAGTTGACATTCAACCAGTGGGTTACGGTTTTGAACTACGCTCCACTTGTCGAAGTATGAGCAGCCACGTTGTATCACTAGCCCTCATACAAGAAGTGTAGCTCACTGTCTACTGAACGAATATGTGCAAGATTACTGAGTGTTTCGACTTCCAATTTTTTTCTCACGCATTATACCGAAACCATTTTTCACTCTAACCCGTGCATACTAAGAGTAACATCTATTTTTTAATTAGTAAGTTGCTTGCACATATGGAAATTCTGTGAGTGATTCTGTCACTTGACTCTTATCGTATATAATATTACTGTTTTAAGTTCAAGCGTAACGTTATTCAATTAAATCAACTGGAAAACCGTGTACTTATTTTGCAACATTTTTGACAATACATGCAAGGGACTATGCAAATCGGAGTTTAAACGTCGGTAAAAAAACGAAGACCGAAACCTGAATGATACATCAATAGTCTCTTTACGGCGATTTCATTCTCAAAACTGTACAATCGCAAATTTTCACATTTTTCTTGTGTTAGGATTCGATAGTTAAAAGCGGTTTATCAAGCATGGCAACAAAAATAGTGTCAATATATGTGCCGTCATTAAAATCGAAGAAAAAAACGACTGTAATGCATTGTGAATACAACTCAAAATGTGACGAGTTGTATATGGAATAATAAGTTTGAATACGCAGTTTCGTGAGATTACAACATATTTGGAAATTGAGTTGTGACCAGAGAGAGCATAGAAACAAGAAAGAATAGCCAATTGCGTAAGAAGTGAGCAGTTTCAAAAAAAGAAAAAGGAAAGAGGTGATTTCAAAGACTGAAAATTAAGACCATAAAAAGAGAAAGGGTTGAACAATCTTCTCTTGTGTACAAAGTTCAGGTTTCTCCATATGAGTGGCAAGAGCTTCGGTGATACGGAGAATCTGAAGGCATACAGCATTTGGAAGGTTTCTTTTCACTTTACAAATGACTTTGAACGAGGAGGTTCTTAAGATAGAGTAACTCGTATTCACGATGTGTTTAATTATAGCACTTCTTATCGTTCCATTGTTACCTCGTTGCAACCGTGCGGAAAAGTGCTCCTGAACCCTTTTGGATAAACAGTCGCATCGAATGACCTTTATATATGGCTCTACAAGAGCAGGTGAATTGATATACGTGCATAGAAGCGGTCAGATGCGATAGCTTACCCTCTAAGTTGTTAGATTTCATTGGATGACAAGAGAATACTAGTTTCGGTGTTGTTGCGAGAAATTTTCTCATCAGAGAACTTAATATCCACCTCATTAGCGTCAGCGGCAGAATGACCTTTCAAATTTAGATTCATATAAAGCGTCTTCTTTGGCGTGATGGTAGGGTTCCCTTTGCGAGATTTACGCTTGACATTTTTGTTTATAATGCGTAGTGGGAATCCACTTCCAATCAGGATATTCCTTAGAACGGAAACTTCCTCTTCTAACATATCAGGAGTGCATGTTCGTTTTATGTAAGTGTCAAGAAGTATGATCAGATTCCGTTTGCAACTCATAGGCACCTAGCTATGAAAGTTCGTCAGTTGACCAATCCACATTGGCTTTCTGTGAATTGATCTCAATGCTCCGTCTGCTGTTCTTGTTAGCTCTACATCAAGAAAGTAGATTTTTAATCCATTTTCAACCTCAAGTGTGGATCCAATTGCTGAATGGTAGCTATTGAATATTTGTAGAATGATTCAAATCACACTGATTATCACAGATAATAAAAGTACCGTCCACGTACCTTTTGTACGCTTCTCATATCGGTTGTTTGGCATAAGAATAAGCGTTAAACAATGTAACTCAGTGGTTTAATTTGCCATTTTTGAAACATCATATTAGTTGAAAAACGACAAAGAGAGTACAATATTTAGACAGATTGAAAAAACTTATGTGAGGAAACCAGACCTGATAATCATATGTACGATAACAACAAGATGTTCAAGATACATAATAACCGAAATCCACTCAACACTTGTGCACATTCGTACATTAGCCAATGAGTCAAACCTATTGCGTGAGAGTTACTTATACTACCTGGCTGCCTAAACCCTGGTAAATAAAACGGGGTTCGAGCCTGTGGCCTATAAGTGAATAATCAAGTGCCTAAACCAATGAATCACAGTTCCAGGATACCTAATAAGATTAATTGTAAATGCACATTTATCAAACAAAACAATTTTCAACGAGATACATTTCTCTGTAATTCCCAGTTTGTTCACCCATACAGGTTCCATCCAACTTGTTTATGATATAGGGATTTCATATATTGATATATACCACGTACTCCTACTAGTATCGGTTACTGAAGTAAGCGTAGCTAAAAGTACATAACTCACGTCTCAGCTATTACTATATCTCAGTACTTACGCCTTTTGCATAAAACTCTTCACTTGACCTCAACATCTTTAACATTTAAGTGGCACACAAATTTTAGTGATCCTGCTTCGGTTGAATTAATAAACAACCATTTTAGTTTAAATGTTTCTGAATCGTTGCTCACATTTCGTAAGTCCATATCTTTACGATGTATATCTTATAAAGCATTCGATTGTTTTTTCTTGTCAACGGTGAAATTTTATCAAAGATTATTCCATCACAACTATGCTACGTGGACAAAACAATTCTGTCAGCGAAGACTTTTAACTATCTCTTTTCATATGTGGTTCTGTATTATTCGGCATTCATTTTCCCTCGACCATTATACGCTTTTATTTCTTTTCATTAGGTTATTGAACCAGACGGTACAATTCGTGAATTAACACGTGGTGATGCATTTGGTGTTCGTCCTGGTAAAACAGATCGTATCCATCATGGTGTAATGCGTACGGTGACTGAAGATTGCCATTTTCTTTGTGTCCCTCAAACGGACTATATACAGATAATGAGCCGTGAAGGGGAGCTGAAATTCCTGAAATGGGTGAAGGTGGACGTGTTGTCCTTGTCTACGAATCATTACAGTTGGATACAAATCTTAGTATGAATTTGAACAAATCATCTTGTGAAAACTCCATTATGTCCAGAAAATGTCGATTAGTTACAAAGGTTTGTCTCAATGAAAATGCTTTAGGCAGTTAGACGTGGATATTTTACCCACTTAATAGAATATCGAAAAATTTGCACACTTTTTCGAATCACAATAATGTGGTGTTTCTCAATCTTCTATTCCCTTATTGTGATTACTATGAGAATCAATGTTTCATTGACATCAACCAACCTGATAAAGCCAGTTACTTTTCCATACCCGCCATCCTTCATTATATAAATTGAAGTAATAACCTCCAAAATTTTGAATAATTTGTCCGTTACTATCTATAGCAACCGAACATTTCATCATTTAAGTAGGTTTTCTGTTATCACTTTGTCAAAAACATTGTGTATAAGAATTATAGTTAGGATAAATTCAGTGGAATGAGGTACCATAGTAACTGGTTTCTGATTCTGTTTTTGAATTATTTTCTCTATTCATTATTGCTATTATTATCTGTCCCATGGGTTCCTAATGGAACATAGGGCTTCAGTAGCACACTCTATTCCACTCTCTTCTCTACGATCTTTTAAACCTGACTCCACGACAGCCCACAAGCTCTCATTTCTTCCTCGCACGATCTCCTCCATGTCACTCTCGCCTCGGACGCCCAACTCGTCGCTTCCCATCTGGTTCCACTCGAGCAACTGGCCTGGCGCGTGATGTCCCCAGTCGGCCTTCTCAGTGTATGCCCAATCCATCTCCACTTCCTTCCAGTGCATAATTTGTTGAGTGGTAGATTGTTAGCTGCTTCATTGCCAGAGTTCCCTGTTGCTTATTCTCGCTATTCTGGCCATCTGAGCTTCATTAACGAGCTAGCATGGGCAGTTGTTTATGAATGTGTGTAGTTTGTTGGAAGTGCTTTTCGTGAAGTGCCAAGTTTCTGAACCATACAGAAGCACTGACTTGACTGGTATTGGTGTTGAAAATCCGGATTTTGTTCCACATGCTGAGTGCGGAAGATCTCTACACTGGTTTCAGGTTAATGAACACCTGTCTTGCTTCTCCGACCCTGGCTTTGACGTCCTCGTCTGTGCCGCCTGTAGTTGAAACAGTGCTGCCTAGGAAGGTGGCTGAAAGAGGTTACTTCCTTTAAGTTTCTCCCGTTGATGGTGATTGGAGTTTGTTGTTGTTCTTGTTGGTTGGGCATCTTCATCACCTCTATCTTCTCTATATCCACTTGAAGTCCCGTCTTCGCTGCCCTACCTCTTCTGTCAACCTGTTGGATTTCGCCTGTAGATCTTCAAGTTTGTGTGACATTAGACACAAGTCGTCGGCGAAATCCAAGTCTTCTAGGTTCTTTTCCGCGTTCCAGCGTACGCCCCTCTTCTCGCTCCTCACTGTTTGTTACCTGATCCAGTCCACCACAATCAGGAAGATTATGGGTGATAGTAGACAGCCTTGGTTTACTCCTGTCTTCACTTCAAAAGCATCGCTGAGCTTCCGATTGTGAATTACTTGGCATGTGGAGTCTTCATTTAGTTGTTGAATGAGATTGATAAAGGTTTATGGCACTAAAACCGTAGTGTTGAAGCAGTTTCCAAACGACTTCTCGGTCGACTCTGTCGAAGGCCTTTTCAAAGTCGATGAAGTTGAGGTAGTGGGTTGACTACCATTCTATATTCTGTTCTATGATGATGCGAAGCGTTGCAATTTGGTCCGCACATGATTTGCACTTCCTGAGTCCAGCCAGCCTGTTCCGGTCGTAGTTTTGAACCCAGCTCATCCTTTAGTCTCTCCAGGATGATACGGCTTAATATTTTGCTTGCTCTGGGTGGACAGGAGCCTGATTCCTCGCCAGTCCTTGCAAAGACTTCGGTCTCCCTTCTTCGGCAGTTTGACAAGGTAGCCGTTCTTCCAATCCCTAAGTACCTTCCCTTCCTTCCAAAGCTTCTGCAGTAGTCGTGTGAGCATAAACTCTGTTGTCTCTGCGTCTGTCCTCAGTGCTTCTGGCGGGATTCCATCTGGTCCTGCTGCTTTCCCGCATTTCAGTAGCTTTATGGAGCTCAGGACTTCCATTTTTGTTAGAGGATTTGTGTTCACTTGTATTCCTGTGGCTGGGCTGCAGGTGGTATTTCTGGACGAAGTGCAGGCGGTAGTGGTGGTCGACTAAAGAGCTTTTTGAAGTGGTCAGCCCATCGTTTCTTTTGTTTCTCCTCTTTGGTAATTAGCTTTCCTTCATCATCTTTTACTGGTTTCATCTGTGTTCATGTGTCCCCTTCGAGGTAGATAGTAACCTGGTTATTTGATACAATGTTATCAGGTCTCTCCTACCTGCAGTCTGTTCTGCTTCACTTGCCAATGTGTCGTAGAAGTGTCTTTTGTGTTTGCACGCACTCTTCTTCACTCCTTTGTCCAGTGTTTTATGCGTTGTATTCAGTTCCTCTTTTCATGGTTCATCCCTGCACTGCACTGGTTTATCTTCTGCTTCTCCATCCTCCTCTGGTCTATCAGCTCCCATGTGTCCATCGAGATCCATTCCCCATCTTCTTTCTTCTTCCCTCGTAACACGATTGTGCAGGTTTCCTTGCACACCTCTTCCAAAGAGTTCCAGTGTTCATCCACACAGGTTTGTTCAGGGATGTTGCTGGATATCTCCCATTTTGTCTTGACTTGACTTGAAGATTTTCTTTGTATTATCGTCCTTCGGTTTCTTTTTAGGGTGTTGAACTTGAACTGTGGTCTATCACCAACTTGTGTGAAGGCTTTCAACTTGATTTGGGAGGTTTCTTGCACTGGACAGTGAATGGTGTGAACCTACATCTGCTTGCCTTCTTGATCTTGTATCCAGTATGCCACGTCTCCACCTTCTTGAGATTGAGATGAAGTCGATTTGATTTTTAGTGTGTCCTAGTGTCTGGTGAAATGGCATCCATGTCGCTTTGTGGATATCCTTGTGCTTGAACACACTGCCTCCATTCACCAATTCGTTGAATGCACAGAATTCTGCAAACAATTCTTTGTTCTCGTTCATTTCACCTAGCGCTTCTCGACCCATGTTTAGTTCTCTTTCTGTGTTGTCCCCTCCCAGTTCGGCATTCATATCACCCATTAGAATTTTGATGTCGCCAACTGAGGTGGGGTCTTGTCCAGTGCTGGTTGCAGTTGTCTGTAGAATTCCTTCTTCTTTTCATCTGCATTATTTGTAGGTGCGTAGTGTAGAATTGTATGATTGTGACTTTCCTTCCTTTTGAGTTGAATCTTGCTGTCATGATCCTGTAGGAGAAGATTGGTTCCCACTGCATGAGAGCCTTCGATGCTCTTGGGGACATCATGATAGCCACTCCATGAGTGTGCTCGTGGTTGTCCTGTGGGTGATAATATCGGAGCAGATTATTTATTCTCCAGTTGGTAGTTTGGACAGTCCACTTCCATACCATCTGCTTTCGCAAATTCCTATCACTTCAATGCGATACCTTCCCATCTCGTTTGCAATCTGGGCAGCCTTGGCAGGTTCATACATGGTGTGGACATTCCGTGCCCCCATGTTTGCTCCCGCTTCCACCAAGAGAAGAGAAAACACATCGGCCAATGGCTTTCCGAAAGCTATCACCGACCGGCGTCATTTCGCCTCTCCGATTCGAGCGAGGAATAATTTTGTTTTTGTTTTTTATATTTTGTTTGTGCTTTGAAGTTTCTTTAGCGGTTAGATTTGTTTTCCGGGGTAGGGTTGCTAACCCTATGCCCAACCTTCCCTGTATACCCGGGCTTAGGACCGGTTAGCAACTAGTGAACTATTTAACCAGGCGAGGTTTCTCTACTCATTGCTCACGGTTAACTAATTATTTAGAAAATTATATATTACTCGTTCCTCCTACTTACATTCTGTTTTTTCTTTGACTGATATTTTCAGGGAACACCAGAAAAACTCATTGAACATTTGATCGCTGATTTATCAAATATGGATATCACATATCCAGAAGATTTCCTACTTACATATCGTACATTCTTAGATTCTCCACGACCAATTGTTGATCGATTATTATCGTGGCATTTACATAGTCCTAAATTACGTTCACGTGTTAATCGAATTATTTTACTATGGGTTCACAATCACTTTAATGATTTTGAAGATAGTCATGAAATGATGAAGTCTATTGAGAAATTTGATAATATGCTGTCATCAGATGGTACAGGTAGGTTGGAAGACTTATTTGTATTGATCTATATACCGTTTCAATACTTAGCAACTGATAAGTGAAGTGCTTAGTTCATATGAATACTTACCACTAGTATGTGGTTTTTCAACTAGTTGACTGTAGTACATGCAATATCCTCATTAATAATGCTGTAAAGTAATAAGCATATATTGTTGTCTAATACTTCTGATTTCCCGTTGCTATACAGGGTTGAATTCCTCGACCTTTGTTGGCAGATTGGTTCCTATCCGGATGCCTCGATAACCCTGGATGTTTATGATATTGTATTCATCTTGGTGACTCGCTGAGAAATCCAGGACGCACGTTTTGTCCTATTTGGAACTCGTCGGCTGGATGTACCTGCATCCCAATGAGTGATGTTGCTCTTGAACCCAGTACCCGTCGCTTCAAATGCCAAGGAGTTATCCACTGGGGCACGAAAGCTACCACTGGAGTTTGAAGTGATAGGCACTGAATTCGAGTTTTCAGTGGGAACAACGCCACTCACTGGGGTGTAGGCATATCCGGCTGACGAGTCCCAAAAAGGACCAAACACGTCTTGGATTCTACTGCTAGTCACCAGGATGATTATAATCAACGTAAGCTTAATATTATAAGTTAGAAAAACACTTTCGCTGCCCACCGGCTTAGTTAATACCAGACCACCGTTTCTCAAGTCTGTAGTTAATTTCAACGCTTGTCTCTGAATTGATTCAAATAAAAAAACTAGACTGCCCCCACACTATCTTCGTCTTTGAGATCACAGCCTGTCTGCTTAATCTTAGGAATATGACCCATCGACTTTCAAGCAATAAGTTTCAGATTCAAATCTCATTCTACCTACTTTAATCTGGACAACTGAGTAGTTTTATAAGCCTTCGCAAGAAATATTCTATCTCTTTACTGATTTGCGCAATGTGAATATTTTTCTCATCATAATTCAATTGAAATGCGTTTTCCTACTTGTATTCTCTAACTTTTGTGTTAGAAGATGTGATCATTTATATCATGTTGGCTAATTTTAGCATTTGTTCCTCATGAATGAGGTATATTCTTATTGCCAGAGTCTAGAAGCTACTTTCTGAGTTCTCATTCATAAATATCTGATGCTACATTTCTATTAACCTGTTATCATAAGATAAAAATCCACTGTTATCTGTATTGCAACACAGAAATATTCAGAAAAGTAGCTGTTACATTAGTTTATGTTCAGTTCGATATAATGTCTATTCGTTGATAGATGTAAATATAAGTCAACCGTAAAAGTGATACTACCTTGCTTTTAATACTGATATAGACTGAGCATTTCTGAAGGCATGAATCAATGATAGAGGCAGTTGTATACTACAAGTAAACACCAATTCCCAGCTGTTCGAGAAATGAACACTACTTCACCATCATTGTGAAATTAAACAGGATTTTAATCTTCAAACAGAAAGATAAAAAAGTACGATTTCATCAGACGATAATTAAGCTGGTAAGTTATACACTACCGCGAAGTTACACGGTTCGTATTGTTGTAAACGCGTATGCAGTTTTTTAAATGTGTATCTTTGAAACTGTTATCCATTTTAGCTGGTGAACGTCGTCTTTTTCGGTTGGCTTGCAGTACAAAAGCTCGTCCACGTCATGTGGAAATTATAATCCCACTGAAAGTTTCTCGAAATTTTAATGCAGAAAACAAACCTTCCAGAGGAGAACAGCATTCAAGCAGTAACCACAATATCAGCTCTCTTATTGATCTACCATTTACAATGATTGGCGGTGAAGATGGATTCGGTGTATTTATACATCAAGTGAGTAATCTGGATTTCGTTATTTTATTTCCTTTTACTATCAATCCTTTCTAAATTTCATTCTCTTTAACTGAATAACCTGAAACATAATTGTGTTCTACACCTTACAAAAGACTGTTATGCATGACTGACTTATACTGAAGTGGTTCTATGAAACAGTCAGATTATTATTATTATTATTATTATTATTATTATTATTATTATTATTATTATTATTATTATTGATAACTTCTGTCTTGACATGGTGGTCGGGCTTGCACATCGCAAGGACCCAACGAGCTATACTATCTGGAATGATTGTTACTTAGCGTCTTACCATACCAGAAGGTGTTTTGGATAGTGACAAGACAAAAAGCAGTTACCATTGTAAGGTAAATAATCTTCACTATGGTCTTGGCCCGAGGACGAAACTTACTGCTGACTGGGTAAACGTGTGACAGTAGTGAAATGTTTCCCATGGATGACCAGCAGCTCATACTGATGCTGCCTTCCTTATCAGATGTAGCGGATGTAGAGGAGGTTGGCCCCCAAACCAGCACACTCCTCTCTGCCATGCGGTTTTGCGATACTGGCGGTATGGGTTTTCCAGTTGGATTGAAAACACAAACAACCAAACCTCATACTTTCGAAAACGTCATATGTGACAGGCGTCAAGCGACGTCCCATAGGTTCTGCAACCACGCAAAACGAATCCGTTTTCTCTTTCAGGTGCTGTGCAAAAGCAACTTCCTTGATATAATCAGCTGAAAAATCCCCAGCTTCCACACACTTCCAGCAATTCATGAAACCAAATTACCATAGCCTACCTTCCTTGCTTTTGTCTCCTCACTTCTTAATATCAGTATAAAACCTCTGATAACTCCCTTAACTTCTCAGCCTGCGACCATCGCCAACTATTCGAGCCGGTTAATCATTTTCAGTCTCCTAATGCCCCTTTGTAAATTTCATATTGAAGCTTTTAACGTTCAAACCCTACGCCAAGTCGTTCAAAAAGCTTGACTTATCAAAACTGAAGTCCTAAAGCATGAGTGTATGCTGTTTCTTAGCTCAGTATATAAGAGCCAAATGTGATTATTGATTTAACCTCACCTGGTCGAAGTGGTGAATTTGAAAAGCTCACCTTATTTAGAGCTTGGAGATACGATGGTTACTTCCCATGGCTTTGCTGGTTTAGGTATGGTACCAAGTTGTAAAATAGTCAACACCCGTCTGTGTACTGCTCAACTGAATGGATCTGTGAGAAATGGAAATGATCACGACACTTGCCAATGCTTATTCTTATTCTACGCCTACGCATCCACCGACTGCAGTTTGGATGATGCAAAGGATGAATTCTGCCAAAAGCTTTAAATTTTGCCACAAGCGAAATGTTCAGATGTAGTCATAATGGTAGGTGACTTCAACGCTCAATTAGGGAAGCTGAGTCAATCAGATAGGCATCTAGTAGGTATCGATGACGTCTCGTACCAACGTACCAACAACGGTGATCTGTTGCAATTTTTTTGATAACCACTTGTTTCTGACCATCAATAACTGCAAGCTTAATAATAGTAGTAATAATGTATTCCTGTAAATACGGGTACATGCCAGTTTACAACCACGAGAACATACTCATACCACTTCAAATGTTAAAACTTGTACAGCATCGGTGTTTTGAAATAATTAACTCAATGTCTCAATGAAAAGTAATGCACTACACTGTAAACTAAATATCAAGTTTCAGTAATAAAAGATTTCACACGACATTAAGTTCATGAGGGATATAGTTCACTCAAATTTGGAAGAGCAAGGAGTTATAAGCCACACATGTATATGCTGCCATAGTCATAATAATTAGAACTAACAGTAGACAGTGAAATCTTTCCAAAGATACTTAGATATCCTGAAAATGCATCAAAATTAGTGACCAAACTTAGCAGACCACTAATTAAGGCTAATATGAATAAAGTTTGTGTTCAATGTTCAAACGGTCTCATAGTTCTCGTTGCAAATCTTAACATGGTTGTCATCATCTCATGCTGATCCAGAGCTGCGGCAGAATTAAGCTATCCACGAAAGAGCTTCCAGTGTCGAATGAAACTATAGCTTTACAAACTAAACTGAGTCACCTATTTACTGAACAACCATGGTGCTACAACCTTACCGCTTAAATAAGAATTAAAAGAACTTGGTTTCAGCTGGTAGCCTACTAATCGGAAGTTGGGCTGAGAAACCAACAAACTGAAGCTTCGTTGCTAAATCTTGTGGATCAAACCGTGTATTATTATTATTATTATTATTATTATTATTATTATTATTATTATTATCACTACTATTGTTGATTGTTTCTTATACCATTCAGGTATATGGTCTAGTACCTAACAGTAGCTCAGAAGCACCATTTGATGTAGATACCAATCAGAAATATACTAACAGTACATCATTATCATCATCAGCATCTTCATGTGATTCAGGTTATCCATGTTCATATATACTTCCAAATTTTTCGTCTGCACATAATCAAATACGTCGTGCTGATCAGCTGTTAGCTGTAAACGGTCGATCAGTGGAACATTTAAAACCAAGCGATGTTATTCAATTAATACATTCAGTGATAAATGCATGTTGTTCTTTGGATAGCATTTCAACATCAATACTAGTAATACAATAAATGATAGTTCCATTGGTTCTTCACCTTCATCATCTTCACATACCTCAACAAATGTGATGAATACTACTATGACTACTGTGGATAATTCAAAAGCATCTTCGTGTTCATCAGTTGGTGCTACCTTCAATCTTCGTTTATTGGTTATTTTTAACCCAGTTCGTAAGTAGTTACTTATTCTGTTCAAAAATTATCATTGAAATTAGGACTCCTATGTGTAATGATTGTGTTGCTAGTTATTGACCGGATACTTGGTTTAAATTGTCATTAGTCGAACTCCCAACGTTCCCAGATCCATCGAAATAGCAATAGAGTACATAAATCATTAGTTCAGAAACATATCTGTTTGCAGTTTTACAGATGACGTCATTGTTTCACTACTAGTAACTTGCTTGACATTGTCTCTTGAATATTCTTCTGACTTGGGTGTTTGTATAGCTTCGCTTCACAATGTGAAGCATCTAATAGACACCTTCTGCCTGAAAAATCTGAAACAAAATTCATTCATAATAAAGTTTATTTCGCTATTTCACAGGCTACAGTTGTTAACTTTTAATCAGTAAGTAATTCCTGTAGACAAGTTAGGTAATTTTGATGATGTTGCTTGTGCATCTCCGTCGTTGATTGGATTGGATTGATAGGCTACTATTGGCATGTGGGCTCCTATACCGATGCCTCGATATTGCCGGCATTTGAAACCTTGATATTAATGATGGATAGTGGCTAGCAGTGGAGTCTAGAACACGAGTTTCGTCCTATTTGGAACTCTCAGTCGGGGGGCAGGTACATCCGGCTGATGCGTCCCGAATGAGACAAAACGCACGTCCTGGACTCTATCTCTAGCCACTACTCATCATTAATATCAAGTTACATAATTTCTGAATATATGATGAAATAAAACTTGAAACAACAGCGAAGCTAAATTCTATATCCGTAACCGGAATGTGAAATATCAGCAATGAGTTGAGTGAATGTATATTAAGGCTGGTCTTCTTTTCTAAGATGTTGTTGCATTGATAAAGCATAAATTTTGTCAGCAAATTAAATTAACAGTCCATATTGTGACCTATCCGGAATTATATTTTTTAGTAAATATCAGGTATATGTTGTATTCAAATTTGTCGAATTTTCATCCATTCGTATTCCTCACTGTATTCCAATCTACATGGTTGCTAAGGTTAGGGGAATATACAGTTCTTTTTTAAATTGCCTCAACTAATAAAAACTACTATTTTTAACCGATCTATTTATTAAAATATAGTTCTAGTGAAATAATATGAAATTTGCATTATTCTGCTACTGTTGATGGAAACTACTAGGGGGTGGACATACAATAGTACGAATAAGTTACGTGATGTGGTTCAAAAATGGTTACAAGATCTCTTGTCTACTCAATTAAAATCATCTTAGTAACTCTAAGTATCTGACTACTTGATACCTTCTCTTTTTCGTCGAAGTTTTTCTCCTACCTTTCCTCCATAATTCTATACTGCTGTCAGTATTTTCTTTACCCTTTTGTTGATTTATTATCCAATTGAGTTGATTCGTGATTGCACTAGGCGTTTATCTTTGTTTTGAATTACTATTTATGGGTAACTAACCGAATGAATTCCGCTGATAGCATGGAACGTAGAATATAACACTTTGTTGGATCAGCGTGAAACTCTGTGAAATGAACAGAGTTAGCGATTTATTATTATATTATTATTTGTCCTTTGGGTTCCTAGTGGAACATAGAGCTTCAGTAGCATGTCGCTATTCCACTTCATTCTCTGCAGTATTTTGAATCTAGCTCGACCACTGCCCTGAAACTTTCATTTCTTCCTCACACCATCTCTTCTATCTCACCCGCGGACGCTCAAATAGTCGTTTCCCATTTGGGTTCCACTCGAGGGCCTAGCGTGACGCTTGATGTCCCCAGACGGTCTTCTTAGTGTATGTCAAATCCAATCCATCTCCACTTTCTTCTGCTTATTTGTTGGGCGATGGATTCCTTGTTGGTTTATTGCCAACCAGTCAGAGTTCTTTATGGCTTATTCTTATTAATCTGGCCATCTGATCCCATTTTCAGTATGGAGTGAGCGTAGGCGGCAGCTGTTCATGTGTGTCTGCAGTCTGTTGGAAATGCTTTTCATAACGCACCAAGTTTCTCAACTATCGCATAGAAGCACTGACTTGATTGACATTAGTGTTGAAAATCCGGATGTTGTTCACGCTTTATGCTGAGTGCAGTGCAGTGCAGTGTAGTAGATCTCCACACTTATTAGTCCAGGTTAATACAGGAAGGTCTATCTTGCTGTCTTTCTGATCCTGGCTTTCACATCGTAATCTGTGCCACCCGAGTGGTTGAAACGATGCTGCTTAGATGGGTAAGTGGAAGATACTGCTTCCTTTAGATTTCTCCCGTTGATGGTGATTGGTGCTTGTTGTTGGTGGTGATAATGGTGGTTGGATATCTTCATCAACTCTGTCTTCTCTATGTTCACCTGAGGAAATTTCGTCTTCGCTGCCTCTTCTGCTAACTTGTTGGTTTTCACTTGTTAGGAAAGCTATCAAAAATAAAATAATCTATCAATTTATAGAAAAAAGAAACTGAGAAATACGAAGGCATGAAATGAAACGTTTGCTAGTTCACGGGGTAATTAAGGGGAAGAAATTCATCAAAGATGTGTTGTTTAGCAATTGATTTAACTCTCCACAGCTGTAAAATCGTAATTTTAGACGCTTTGTTTCTTTTTATTGGATAGTCACAAAATTGGTGTAAGAAAATCTCAAGCGTTATGTAAAGTAAAGATCAATCACAAATGAGCATATGACCAACATTATCAACAGGGTAGAATATAAAGTTGTATACTATGTAGAAATAATTTTTCAAGGTAAAGTGTGGTCAAAGGTAGCATGGAAACAAAGCAGATAATGTAGGATTATCAAAAAATATAATAAAACTACGAATATTAATAGAGTTGGCCAAAAGTTATTTTTCGGCGGTAAATCTTTCCAACATAGTTTCTCGAACATCTATTTCTGTCATTTCTCATTAACCGTGATACCCAAAGTTTTCTGTTTGACTGAAGCTTGCAACTGTTAATTTCATCTTAGCCTAGTTACTACCACACTTTGTAACCGGCGTTTGACAATTCATTTTACATGTCTATTCACCATTTTAGTCAATATAGACTGATCAGATCTCTTTTATTTCACTTTTCATGATTCTTCTTTTAACTTTACGTTTTTCGATCACACTTTTAATCCCTTTTTCTTTTCACTTCATCTTGTTGCTTTGTATCTTGATGAGCTGATATAAGGTATGGAAAATTCTATTAGTATGCTGTATTTACAGGCCCTTTCTTGATATTAACCTATTGGTCTTGCTTCTTTCATCCAACCCTTACATAGGGTGACAGTGACAACAAAACAAGCAAGCTAAACGAAATATAAACTTAAAATTTTTTCTGCCCCTAGATACTCATGATTTGGTCACATTGGCTATATGTTGCCCAACTGTTTAATATATTAAGGTTTGTGTATATACACATAAAGTAACAGCAGTCATTTGAAGTCATCGCTTGTTTAAATGTACGGCTTACAACTATATTCTGTGAAGCTTTCAAACTCTACAAAAACATACACTTAGATCAGGTGAAGGGTACTAGGCAAGACAGCCAAGCCGATTGATAAAGCTGTGAACCTTAGTCGACTTAGAAGGCTTCGACATGTGCTTCCCATGCCGAGCCACTGCCTACCTCGATCTGCGATACTAGGGAAAGCTGGATTAGGTCGGAAGAAGGTTCAGGATGGCCAGACCAAGACCTGGCACTAGTCCATGAAGTCCCTCATTGTTGGTCTGAGGCCTGTGGAGAGATGTAAACTGCCTGGTTGGGGTCCTCGAGACTAAAGGAATCAATGGTTGATGACTCTTGGTGACCTGGATGAAAATCGGTCACAATGGCACAGATGTATTCACTCTCCAACGTCTTTTAAACCTTGAATATTCGCACCAACCTTTATTCGCTTACACTACTTTGTCTACCTTAATATGTCTTATTCTATGCACCTACTACTACTACTGTAAAATGTGGCAACTTGAGGGATATACTTGTGTGGAAGGTTCTGGGTTGATTTCGTATCTGTCTGTCCGTTACTCACATCCGATGTGTTTTATTACTAAGGCATTTTCATGGTACAGTTTGCAGAAGTGAATTCTTCAAGGTAATCTTCCTTACTTTTCTATAAATACTTTGTTTAGGATTCACATTCGTTTCTTATATAAGAAGGAGTTTATGAAACTGCAGTCAATTCATCGTAGCTGATCCATCCAAAAGCGTTTGCACTACATTTCTCCCCATCCTAACCAACGATGACCTAATCACATTTTACAAAGCTCATATTTTTCTCACCAGTGTTATCCTTGTACTTCCTTTTTTCGACTTGTTAGTGAGTTTTCAGATTACTTCAATGTTACGTATCTAACATTCTGAAGTGAGACAATGAATCCCTAATATCCTATTCACTTTACCATACTAATGTTTTATTACTTATAATATGTGGCCATATGTATGAGGTTAGACACTTGAACAATAAGCTTCAGATACCATCATTAATGGCGATCAGTTCTTCGGCAAATAGAAAGGGTAGTAAGATAATAGAAGTTTTATTGTAACGTCGAAATATGTTCAAAATGCAACGGTTTGAGTATATTTACAGTGGTCTTGACTATATATAAGCTCTTTTAAAAGAGCTTACGCTATTGATTTGTCTCTTCAACCAATTTGGTACCTACATGTAGGTTCGCATACATCTCCTGAAAACTTCGCAGCAAAACGATTGGCTGCCAAAGGCTTCATGGATTTAGGGATTCTGATGAGGATCTGGGTCATTTTATCGAACGTAATAATAATTTAGATCACTACTAATATTACTGTCACTTATAGTCCTAAAATTATGAATCATTAACTTAGGTAATTGATTATCTGCTAATTTGTCATGGATTGATAGCCCACTCCACCGACCGAGGTAATTTAATCCTGTATACGACAGGTGTAACCTATGAACTAATGCACAAACTTGCATACCGTTTCTGAGATTGAATTCCATTCTTCTTCTCATGCATTTGTGCTGTTTGCCATAAGCTATCGATAGCAGTCATTTGTACCATCAGTCTAGTGTTTATCGAAATCAAAACTGTAAAAATCCTCTTCATTTAAATGTATTAATGGTTATTTTCGATTTTATGAATATTCTTTTATTTTTTCTGTTGACAACAGAGTATTATCAGGTTGTTAATTCGCTAAATACAATTTCAACAACCAATACTCTGGAAAATTTTCAAACCATGGACGATTTCAAAACTCAGATAAGAAAATGTTCCCCACTACCAAATGTAACAAATTCACCAATAAATCATAACGGAGATGGGATTTGTAAACCGAAGAAGCATAGTTTGTAAGTTTCATTTTTTTTTAAAATCATTATTATTATACGACCGTACTAATAAGGGATACTAGTCGATACTATCAAGTGTTTAACAATTCAGTGGCGTGTTAAATTTTTCATTATTTTGTATTGGCTTCTTTAAACACTGAAAATTCAAACAATATTTCCATGGAATGTTGATAGTTTTACCGCAGATATACAGCAATTTACTACTGTTACCTTTTCCATACACAATCAACTTCAAACTATACTTTCATTGTAGGACTATCAGAAAACTGTTTTGTTTATTTATAATGCTTTCAAACATCGAAACTTATAATGTACACGTCAAGATAGAATGTAATTAGATTAAATTGTTCTGTTGATTTAATCAATTTTAGTGTCAGATAATTCCTAATGAAAATCTTAATATTTCTTTTGGTTAAGTGTACTTAAGTCATACAACACCTGTTTGTATTATTACAGGGATATTTAAAACATAATGTCATAGGTGTTGAAATGATACACAGAATATCTAAATTAGTTAAAACCATGTTTTGAATAAATTAACTTTAAGTATCTATGTTTAACGATTGATCTCAGTTGAATACCTCGAATAGTCCTGTACCCCTTTCTCTGTATTTCTAAAGAGAATCTTCACTTAGTTGATTGGATTGTTTAACATTGTTGAAACAATTGACTTCATTAGCAGCATAGTTTAATGATTTCTTGAAATCTCCTTATTTAAGGTATGGGACAGAAATCGAAGTAACTATCATGTTCTTAATGGTGATCGAAAATGTAGTGTGGTTACTGAGTTAAGTAATACAGCACTTTGGTGCATAGTATTCTAGTTCTAGATGTTAAGAGTCAAATGAAAGGAAGCTTTGAATTACTTAGATTTTAGAAAAAGACTGATTGAGTGAAGAAGTATATTTCTTTTCAATTAGGTCTAGGTGTAACGGTTCCAGTAGGTTTCAGCATTTCGAAGGTGCTTTCTGAAATGAAACCTTGTTGGTTTATCCTTTTCAGTGATTCAGTTAGATGTTTCTCGGTTTTTCTCTGTTGTATCACCATAAGCGGCTAATTTCTGAAATTTACTTTCATCACCAAGTAAAGAATTCATTTTCTCTATGTACTCTTTTTTATCCATTAAAACTATTCCTGACCCTTTATCTGGCTTGGCAATCACGATACGGCCTACCGAAACTGCATAAAAACGGTCTGCCTCTACGACCAGTTCTTGACATGACTAACTCTCCGTATCATACAACAGCGAAATGGTTGGTACAACTTTTGAAGCCTCTCCACAAAGAAGTTGTGAAGTACAGTCTCAAAGATACCTTTGAATTTGTCAGAAAGATTGAGGATCTGGAAGTAGATAATAAGTTAATGATTTCGTGTGACGTTTCATCTCTTTTTACTAACGTTCCTTTAATGGAGACAGTAGACTTTATTTGCAACGAACTCACGAAGCACTGCATGGAAATAGGTATTCCAGTCCCCACATTGACAAAACTACTTCTGAGGAGTACGATGAATGCACAATTTCTTTTCAACAATGAACTCTACCGGCAATCTGATGGTGTTGCTATGGGGTCACCCCTTGGCCCACTCTTAGCAGATTTTTTTCTGGCAAAACTTGAGAATGGTCCACTGAACGATACTATAAGCCGTTTAGAGTTATATTGTCGTTACATGGATGATACCTTTATAGTTCTCAAAAGTGAGACTGATAAGAATGCTGTTCTGAATAAGTTCAATAGTGTTCACCCGGCAATCAACTTCCCAATGGAAAAGGAGAAAAATGATAGTATCCCATTTCTTGATGTTCTGTTGGTAAGAAGGTCAGATGGAACCCTGAAGCGAAGTGTTTATAGAAAGCCAACATCAACAGGTCAATATACGCACTTCTTTAGTGCTGTACCCCTCCAATACAAAAAGAACCTAGTGAAATGCTTAGCATACCGTGCATCAGCTATTTGCTCAGAGTATGCTATAAAGGAAGAGTGCGCCACCATCCGTGATCTGCTTAGTAGGAATGGCCACCCAGACAAGTTTGTAACTAAGCACATGAATATTACGAGGGTTAAGAAAACAATGCCAACAGTTCCTAAGAAGCAAATCTTCTTGAAGCTGCAATTTAAGAGTGATATTGCCAGTGAGATCATCATACAACGCATAAAAAGAGTCTTGCATAAAGCATTCCCAGCCGCTAAATTATGGCCCGCCTTCTACAACCGCCCGATTCTAGGTGCGAGAAATAAAGACAAACTGCCTGATTCTGCCACTTCTATGTGCATTTATCAATTCAACTGCTCCTATGGAGCTAGTTACATTGGGCGTACAATGAGGCAGTTCCATAATCGAACTTCTGAGCACCACCCATCATAGTTGAACAAGGGACAAATTAGAACAATAAAGAGCTCCATACTTGCACACTTGGTTGACACAGGACATCAAGTGGTTTCTGGAAAAGCCTTCAAAATCATCCATTAGATTCCAATTAATTTACCTCATGGATTACGCACTCGGTTACTTCACATAGCAGAGGCGATTGCAATCCACCTTCACAAACCTAGCCTTTGTATCCAAAAGAAGTTTGTTCGACCACTTTCATTACCGTGGCCGTCAACATGATGTAACTTCTAGGTTTATTTTGTGCACCTCTTCCCCTTCTTGTTTCTATCAATATTCATATTTCTTATTTTAGTAACCCTATTGATTATTTACATCATTATTTCCGAAACATCACCACGTGATTGGTAATTTGATTAAATTGTAAACCAATATATTAGTGTAGAGCCCAAGATGAAGACCTAATTGAAAAGAAATATACTTCTTCACTCAATCAGTCTTTTTCTAAATGTCTAAATGGGAATATTCAATGTACTTAGATTTTGTTGTTGTTGCTGCTCCTGGTGCTTGCAGTTCATCAACAGGTAGAATATACAGGTGTTGAAGGGATTTATGTACTTTCAAAGATTCGGTAGTCAGTGATGCCTTTCCTGACTTCATTCGATGATGAAATTCTTTTCCAGTAATCAAAAACTGTCATAAGTTTTAATTTTGCTAAGATCAACATGCCTAAGACCGAAATGTCGATTTCTTTATTGATACTCATATGTTTTTAATGTTTTTCTTACTTATTTATTCATTTCCCCTACCTTTAATACATCATTTTCCTACAATTGTGGGGAATTTGTTAGGCCTCTTGTAACTATATGTCCACCAGCACCGAATTCTTCATCAAATGAACCTGAGTGCGTTATCCATTGCGATCATTCATCGCTAGAACGTTCCACGTATGTACCTTTTTTGGTAGAGTGTATACCCATTCAAAATATAAAGGGATGCCTCTGGAATGATGTTTGTAGTTATAAAGTTTACCCTGCCTGCCTACTCCCTACACATGCTTGCTGCCATATATTCAATTCTCTTCATAATTATTGCATGTGTTCCTTGTTATTATTATCTCTTTCAAATTGATACCGAGTCAGTTATGTAATTGCATAGTTATATGCTATTGTAATTTTGCTTTTAAGATGCTCTCGGACATTGTATGTACCCTGTCTGGTGATTACTCCTATGCATCCATCCAGTATGGAATGATATGACCAAAGTCTTTACCATTTGTTGTACATTCTGTTTATGTTAGCCTGCTGAGGCATTGAAAGTAATTTCAAGTGAATGTACAAATTAGAAAAGACAGTTTGTTTGATAAATATTTGTGTATTTTGTAGTTCTGCAACCTTTATTTGACTGATGCCATAGTATATCAAAGAGTATTCACTTCAATGAAAGAAATATTGATTCCGACGGTGTGAAATAATAAAAGTATAAAAATTACCAGATTATTTTTAGATTACTAATTCACCCAAGTAATGTGACTAGAACAATTTGACTTACTGTAATAAATATGTACAGCCAAGCTACTAATGGCCTGAACCTGTAAAAACTGTCTCCAACTCCTTAGCTTGTTGTTAGCTACTGTTATCATAGTAATATGGTTTACATTTTCCTGTCATTCGATTTTGGTAATGCTACTTCGAATTTTCACCAAGCTACTAAGCATTTGTTTTAAAAGGTTGTTCACACAGATAGGAGAATTTTCTCATCTGTTTATTTCAAATCACTTTAGATACAATTCAATCACCCGATAATCAGACTATTACGATTCACCTTCAAGTAACATATTTTTAGCCTGTCACCCAGGCGGATTTTGTTATCTGTCTGAACTATCTATCATGATGTTTGTGACAAAAAATAATTTGATGTCGACGATTATCATTTCGAAAAAAAAATAGCATTTTAGTTCTTAACACTTCCCTTTCAAACGCGTTATCACATTCACCCTAATGTAAATATTGTATACTATATAAAGAAGCTATTGTACATTAATTGACTGAACTAGGAAACCTTTCGCATACACCACAAAGGTTAAGGTAGTAAGAAATCTTACGTTTTTTGAGGAGGTATACTTAAAAATCCTCTCTTAAGTTTCTAAAGTGATGTCTAGCAGAAGTATAACATTCTTAGGAGCTTTTTCTGGACTTTTTTTATTTCTTCATCTTTCACTGTGATACATTCTCTCTTGATGTCCTGATATTTAGTTTGGCGATCTGGATTGTTGCACAGTAATCCTAGGTCTCATGTTGGTACTATGTATCTACTTTTATACCTCTACAGATGTAAACTTGTATTATATTTCCAGTTTCAATTGTTCGTAATTCCAATTGTTGAAGATGTGTTATCGATAACAGATAAAATTCATATTTTGAGGTTAATGGGGATTTTATTTTTAAACACTATTCATCACGGACGTAAATAAGTTGGAGAACTACTTAAGGCGTGAGAGCACTGGATAGCTGTTTCGTCCTATCATGGGACTCCTCATCAGTATGCTGCCTACGACTCGGTTAGGGATCATATGGCTTCTCATTAGAACTTTGGGACGTATATCCCGAAGCATGTCGCTTTTGTGGAGCATTGAATATAGATTCAATGACTAATGGTTAAAGTGTTCGCCG